TGGGGTATAAATAATAAAATATTATTATTATTAGGCGTTCGTTAACCTATGCAAAAACTGTTATTGACTCAAAAAATACAAGCATCTGTACTGCTGAAGACCTTTTTTATTATTCTATACCTAGGTATTATTCTTGAAAATAAAAAAATATATAGAAAAAAGAGAGAAAGATGCTTTTTGATTCGGTGTGTGGCAGAGAAGGCACTGAGGTATTATTCTACCAGGCAGACAGTTTCCTGGGTGCTGTGATGTGGGGTGGGGTATGAATCAATTTAAGAAAGAACTTAACCTGGGGTGGATCTGAAAATGAGTTCCTCTGCCTTCCGTGCCAGTTAAAATATAAATTAGTGCATTTTTGCACACCAGCAATTCCCTGCAAATTTTAATGCTAAAATTCTGCCCCCAACTTGGATGGCTTTCAGAGGGTTGCACAAATTCGGGGGGGGGGGAGGGCTATCGCTGGGTACCAGCCAGGAGGGCAGCAATTCCTCTGAATACCACTTGCTAGAAACCACAAGAGATGTGAGCACTCATGTGGGGCATCTGCTTGGCCACTGTGAGAACAGGATGCTGGACTAGCTGATGACCCCAAGGTCGCGGGTTCGATCCCCGTCTGGGACAGCTGCATATTCCTGCATTGCAGGAGGTTGGATGATCCTTGGGGATCAAGTCCAACTTGTATGATTCTTTGATTCAAATTATTCAAACTAGACGGGCCATTGGCCTGATGAAGCAGGCTCTTCTTTTGCCCTGAGGTAAAGGTCAAGGGACCCCTGACCCTTAGGTCCAGTCATGGCCGACTCTGGGGTTGCGGCACTCATCTCGCTTTACTGGCTGAGGGAGACGGCGTACAGCTTCCGGGTCATGTGGCCAGCAGGACTAAGCCACTTCTGGCAAAACCAGAGCAGCGCATGGAAACGCCGTTTACCTTCCGGCTGGAGTGGTGCCTATTTATCTACTTGCACTTTGACGTGCTTTCGAACTGCTAGGTTGGCAGGAGCAGGGACTGAGCAACGGGAGCTCACCCCATCACGGGGATTCGAACCGCCGACCTTCTGATCGGCAAGCCCAAGAGGCTCTGTGGTTTAACCCACGGCGCCACCCGTGTCCCCTCTTTTCCCCTTATCCTTGTCCTTATCACTTTTGAGAAGCTTCCAAGGGAGGAGAGCCCACCACTTTCCCAGGTTGTCCATTCCCCGTCGAACAGCTCTTACCCTCCGAAAGTTCTTCCTAATATTTAGCCAGAATCTCCTTTCCTGCAGCGCCTCCTTCCTCCTTCTCCTGCCCCACTTTCCTCCTGCCTCTCCCATTCCCCTTCAATCTCTGGGGCTGGGATGAGAGCGCCCTGCCATGGCCAGAGCGGGGGCGCTTTTCCTGGGATGTGAAGTCCACATGGCTCCTCGCTCTCCTCACATGCTCTTCCCGGGTCTCAGATTCCAGCGCTGGCCTGCGTGGGCCCAGGAATGAGCTGGGTCTCTGTAAGGACACTGTCTTCCACGGATGGGGGCCTCAACATGCTCCCTGCTTCTCCAGATCTCCAGCCTCCTCCAGGCCGGCCCTGACGGGGGTGTTTCTTCTCTGCAGCACAAACAAGGTTGCGACAGAAACCGCCGGCTAAATTCCGACGGAGAGCAGGAAAGATACGAGTGGAAATATTAGCCAACTAAACGTAGTCGCATTTCCCTACCTGCCAAAAACGGTGGTCTCCTCGGGTCACTGTCCCGAGTTTCACAGGTGGATTTATCTGTGTTCCAAAAGTTATAAACCACTTGATTGTAAAGATAAAAAGGGGGGGGGAGTTCCAATTAGAAGAATTCACAGTGATAAATTAAGACTGAATCGGAGAAGTGCTGGAATTGCAAGGAGGCTGAGGGTACGTTCTGTCCTATGTGGTGGACTTGGAAAATATGCGCAGCTTGCAGATTTAACTTATAGGATAAGAGAACAAGAAGAACATACATTTAAAGAAGATTGGAAAATGTTTATTGAATATATGGGGGAATTGAAAACGTTGGCAGCATTAAGATAAATTCAACAGTGTAAATGAGTTTTGATGGTTGAAATAATGGAATACTTACTGAATGGTTTAGTTTTTGTAAAATATGCAGGGATTTATGGCATGCAAACTGAACCACGGAAAGAGAAGAAGGGGAGTTAAATGAATATTCTAAAAGGTAAAATAGAAAAACTTCCTCCCCCCCCCCACAAAGGAGACCGGGGGCAAATACACTTACAATTTAAAAGCAAAACAGAGGCATTCTAAAACAGTTAAAACAGCCTAAAAACAGTCAAAAACATCTTTTAGAAATATGTTATGGTTTAAAACCAAAACCAGCCAGCATTATCTGGACTGAAATCCTGAGCTAGATGGGGCCCAAGGATCTGACTCAGCTTCTTTGCTCCTGCCTAAATCTGTCTGTCGGCCTCCATGAGGACTAGAGGCTGTGTATGTTTTTAGTGGCAGGACCATCGCTCAGTGACAGAGCACTTGGCTTGCACACAGAAGTTTGCCAACACAACCCCTGGCATCTCCAGGTCAGGGTCAGGGCTGAGAAAAGACCCCCCTGGCCCAAACCCCAGAGAGCTTCATAGAATTGTAGAATTGTGTAGTTGGAAGGGACCCCAAGGGTCATCTAGTCCAACCCCCTGCAATGCAGGAATCTCAACCCAAAGAGCCATGACAGAGGACCAACTCTGCTTAAAACCGTCCAGCGGAATCTGCTGCCAGGCCAGGCTGGACCAGAGGGAGCCCAAGGGCCTGAATGGGAGTAAGGCTGTTTCCCGGGAGTTGCTGTCCAGTAATAATGGTTGAAATTAAAAGACGCCTGCTTCTTGGGAGAAGAGCCATGACAAACCTAGACAGCATCTTAAAAAGCAGAGACATCACCTTGTTGACAAAGGTCTGTATAGTTAAAGCTCTGATTTTCCCAGTAGTGATGTATGGAAGTGAGAGCTGGACCATCAAGAAGGCTGATCGCCAAAGAATGGATGCTTTTGAATTGTGGTGCTGGAGGAGACTCTTGAGAGTCCCATGGACTGCAAGAAGATCCAACCTCTTCATTCTGAAGGAAATCAGCCCTGAGTGCTCACTGGAAGGACAGATCCTGAAGCTGAGGCTCCAAGACTTTGGCCACCTCAGGAGAAGAGAAGAATCCCTGAGAAAGACCCTGATGTTGGGAAAGATGTAGGGCGCAAGGAGAAGGGGACGACAGAGGACAAGATGGTGGGACAGTGTTCTCGAAGCTACCAGCATGAGGGAGGCAGTGGAAGACAGGAGGGCCTGGCGTGCTCTGGTCCAGGGGGTCACAAAGAGGCGGACACGACTAAATGACTAAAAAACAACAATAATGGTTGTAAGTTGTTTGAAACTGTTTTTCTTAAATGTCGTGACCCGCCCTGGGACCTCAGGGTGGCAGGAAGGTAATTAAGAAACCAGAGAACAAATAAGAAGTGTGTCTTTCTGGCCCTGCTGAAAGATGGAGACATATCCGTCCGTTTGGCTTCTGGCGACACGAAGTGGCTGTTTCTGAGACTGCACATTGGCAAGGCCTGGTTACACACAGCGTCAGAGAGGGATGCTCAGCACTGGCTAAATCCACAGCTAAATGCACGCCCCTCACACACACACTTTGCACCCATTTTCCTGATTCACACAGTGGGAATCAGGGGTGCCGAAGGGTGGAAAAGAGGACCTTTCTCCTGGTTTAGTTATTAGAATTTTCTTCGTTTTTCCAAACCTTCCCAGTGCAAATGCAGGTCCCAAATTTCACAAGAACATAAGAGACTGCTGGATCAGGCCAAAGGGATCTAGTCCAGCCTCCTGTTCTCATAGTGGCCAACCAGATGCCACAGAAGGAAACCTGCAAGCAGGATCCGGGCGCAAGAGCATTTTGCCCCCTCCTGGGGCTTCCAGCAACTGGGGTTTGGAAGACTGTTTTATTCCCAGAGGCCTCTGGGAGCTGACTATTTTTAAAATAAAGGTCTTTTAAATGACGCCACACTGTTTTTATGATCTGCATTTTGGCAGATTTGTTTTTGATGGCATTTAATTGCCTTTTAACGATGCTCTTTCATACGTTTTTAGCCTTCTGCATTTCAGCTGCGCCGTTAATTTGTGTAAGCTGCCTTGAGTCCCTGTCTCAGTAAAAAAGAAAAGAAAAGTGGGATATGGACAATAATAGATCTATTTATGACCAATCCCTTGTAGGAAAAGACCTGCCAAGGATATTAAAACACGTTTTCATGTAAGCGACAACGGCAGCAAGAGTCTTAATAGCACAAGGATGGAAGAATGAGGAAACCCCGACTAAAGAACTGTGGCAAGGAAAATTGATGGACTATGCGGAATTGGCGGAATTGACACATAAACTACGTGACAAGGATAAGTGTGATTTTAAAGAAGAATGGGAACCTTTTACAAAGTATTTTAAGAAACAACAAAATGAACTGGACTCCTTGGCAGGGTTTGAATAAACACTCACAAATTTTTTATTGGTAATATACAGAGAGGTAAATTGAGGATCTTTACAATTTTACAGCATGCAGAGAATAACGTGCTGAGAAACCAGAGAGAGGAGCTGAGGGAAGTCGGGGCGGGGTCTTTCTTTTTAGGGGGGAGGGGGGAGGGGGAAATGGGGGGGGAATGCGGATGATGTATTTTTGATAAATTGTTATGTTGAATCCCTAATAAAAATATTTTAAAAATATATTTATGACCAATCCCTTACGGCAGGTGATAAGTGCTTTTGAAATATACAAAGCCGACCCTGTCGGGACAGTCCCCTGAGCACGTGCAGAGTGCAAAAGCGCGCTCGGTTCCCCTGCTCCCTTCCCTTCACCGCCACCTTCGTCTGCTTTGATCTGGATCAACGAATCCGCAGTCCTTCAAAGCGGGTTAAGAAGCAGGCGAGCAAGGCAACCTTTTCTGGGCAGTCCCCTGAGCATGCACAGAGTGCGAATGCGCGCTCGATTCCCCGCCCTTCCTCCTCCCCACCTTCCCTGAGCATCCTCCTCCCTCCTCCTCCCCACATCTGGCGGGCACGAGGCGGCGTGGGGACGGGGCGAGGCGTGGCCAGGCGGGGAGCGCTTTGCAGGAGCCCCCGCACCTCTCCGGAGCCCGGGAAGCAGCCAAGAGGCGCCCCCTCCTCCCGGGTAGGGCTTCAGCAGCATCATCATCATCTTCATCCTTCGCAAGCGGCCAGCCCCGGTCCAGCCTCCCCCCTCCCTCCGAGATGGATGCTGTTCGCAAGCAGGCGATGCCCGATCTCCTCTTGCTCCTGCTGGCCGGTGAGTCCGGGGGGGGGGGGGCGCAGAGCCGCTTGGACTTCCTTTCCTTGGGGGGGGGGGAGAAGCTTTTGCTGGGCCTGGTGGGTCGGAAGGAGAAGGGTGGGGGTCTGTGGGGAGGGGCTGGGGGCGGCTCGATTGCGCGCGCCCCTTCCCGCCCTTGGCAAGGCAGCCCAAGCCTTCATTGTTGCATCCTCAGCCAGAAACGGCGCGCGCAGGGACTGGGTGGGTGGGGGCCCCCTCAACTGGTCCCCCCCCCCGGTTCTGCTTGCAAAAAGAGGGTGGTTTGCAATCCTGCTTTCCTTATGAGCGCCGCCCTCGAAGACTTTGATCTCGCCAGGCATTGCGGGGAGCGGAGCGCGGAGACTCCCCTTTGCATTTTATGCTGGGGGGGCTGGGGCGAAATCTTGTGCAATTTCTCGTGCATTCTGGTAAAGAAGTCGGGGGGCGCGCGGGGGCGTTGTTAGTGGCGTGGCTGCATCCGATTTCATTTTCTGTCTCTTTATCTCCACCCCCCCCGCCAAGTACAAAGCGTCTTGTCTTGGAACAGCAGAAATGCCATTTATTTTCCTTTGACACATTTCAAGGCTCCTAGAAAAAAGATCTTTCCATCCAGGCCTGACTCAGCCAGGCTGCGAGGTTTCGGTTTTTGTTGAATGGAACCGGAAAAAAAAGGGGGGGGGGAGAGAGAGCTAGAAGCATTTACTGGCTTGGAAGGTTTTCAGGAGACGGGGGTGCAGAATGTGGTTCCTATCAGCCTTTTGGTGGGTTTTGGGAATTGCTGGCCTGCCAGGATTTTGCAAACGCCTCTCCCAGACCTGCTTGACTGACGCCCGCCGCCCTCCCCAGCCGCCTGATAAACCCCCAACCTAATCTAGGAGTTTTGGAGGGACATCTGGCAGGATTTGGAGGAGGGGGGGTGGACAGATGGAAAGAGAAAGGGGGGGTTCTGCTTGGCAAAATGCGCAGGAGGGGGCGGGGAAGACTCAGGTTCTGTCAGCTCGCTCAGCAAATATGATTATTAATAACAATTATCTTGTAATTTATGAACTGCTTTTCGCACTAAGATCCCTGGGGTTTTTTTGGGGGGGGGGGTTGCAACGATTCCAGAACAACCAGTTCTGGGCGCCCCAATTTAAAAAGGACATGGACAAGCTGGAAAATAAGAATGCAAGAAGAGGTTGCTGGATGAGGCCAGTGGCCCCCCCCCCCAGCTCAGCATCCTCTTCTCACAGTAGCTGAACAGTTCGTAGAATTGTAGAGTTGGAAAGGACCCCCAGAGTCATCTAGACCACCCCCCTGCAGTCCTGTGGGAAGCCAGCGAGTAGGATTGGAGCACCAAAACGCCCTTCCCTCCGGCTGTTTCCAGTGGCTGTCATCCAGAAAAATTGCTGCCTCTGCCTTTGGAGGCTGAGTATTGTGGCTAGTGGTCCTCAATAGCCCTCTCCTCCTCCGTGAATTTCTCTCCTAATCCTCTTTCAAAGCCACCATTGCCTCCTGTGGGATTCTAGGAATAGAGTGGCATTGGAACCAGGGTGCGGGTTTAATAGATTTAATAGATTTAGAGACCCTTATCCTGATGGGGTGGTGCTGTGGGTTAAACCACTGAGCCTAGGGCTTGCTGATCAGAAGGTAGGCGGTTCGAATCCCCGCGATGGGGTGAGCTCCTGTTGCTCCTGCCAACCTAGCAGTTCGAAAGCGTGTCAAAGTGCAAGTAGATAAATAGGTACCACTCCGGCGGGAAGGTAAACGGCGTTTCCGTGCGCTGCTCTGGTTCACCAGAGTCATGCTGTCCACATGACCCGGAAGCTGTACCTGGCTCCCTCGGCCAGGAAAGCGAGATGAGCGCCGCAACCCCAGAGTTGGGCACAACTGGACCTAATGGTCAGGGGTCCCTTTTCCTTTACCTATTATCAAGATGATCAAGGGTCTGGGAACGATGCCTCATGAAGAATGGTTGAGGGAGGCTCAGAAATCCCCAACCCCCGCCCTGGCCCAAATCTCCATTTCTAGCCTCTACCCTGACACTGCTTCTCATCATCTTAAAAATCCTTATTCACACCAACCCTGAAAAAAGTATTGCATGCCTATATTATTTATTTATTGCATAGTATTTACGCAGCTCTTTGTTGTGAAACCTCAACAACCTCATAGTAGTTCACAAAAATCAATGGTTCCCCCCCAAAAAAAAACACTATAGAGTACTTTAAAATGTGCAAAAAATTAAAATTCTAAAACAGATTAAAATTAGCACCAGCATTTCTCTGGGCAGGCTTGACTAAGCAAGAATGTTTTTAGCGTGTGCCAAAAAGATTCGTTGAAGGTGCCTGTCTGCCTGATATCAATAGGCAGGGAGTTCCAAAGTGTGTCTTATGGGAAGGAAAGAGAGACAGGGCTGCCAGATTTCCTGGCTTGCAGCAACTCAGCTGCTAAATAAGATTCTTATTTAGTTATTTATCCTGAGCCATTAATGTGCACTGCTCTTCACAGGAATAATTCCTCATGGACCACTTTCTTCCTGTCACCGACTGGGGCTCTTGCAAAAATTCTTTATGTACAGTGAATTTTATCCACAGTAGAGAACAAGCAAAAAGAGAGGTCTCTGCCCTGAGGTGCTTCCAATTTAAGGGTGGGGAGGAGAGGCAGCAGGAGGAGATGAAAGAAAGAATCACTAGGGGAGGGGGAGAGAGGAGTCCCGTTATTCTGTTGCAGAAATTTGTCATTAAAAGGTCGTGTGACAGCTTGGAATGGCTGCAGGAGGAAGCTGTCAGTCAGGGCCAGCCCTGGAATCAGATGCAAGTCACGAGGCGGCCTGGGGGGCAGTGCCCCATTGCCCCATGAGCCAGCTCCCCCTATTTGCATCTATCTACATATATGCAAAGCAGCAGATGCAAAGCTGAGGCAAATTGGTGCCACTGGATTCCTTGCAGAGGCTTTCGATTTATAGATTTGGAAAAAAGTACTGTACCTAGCAACAGCTCACGTTTCCTTTCCTTATTTCCACAAGCAGACATTTCCTGGGGAGTTGCAGCCTGTTTATTTATAAATGGCATTTCTGTCCCACCTTCCCGCCCCCAAGAACCCCAAGTGGTGCCAACGGTTCTCTCCCTGCCTCCTCATTTAATCTGCACGACAACCCTGCGAGGTGGGTGAGGCTGCGAAAGGCAGGTCACACTCCGAGAGAGCAGGGATCCCTACCCTCGTCTCTCCCAGATCCTGGCCTGATACCCTGACCACTGGGCCACGCTGCCTCTTAATAAACCCGAGGACGGCCTCTTCCTTTCATGCCCTGTCTGCTTTGCAGTCTGGAGTCACGCTGGGGTCTGCGGTGCCTGGGAGGGGAGGGGACTGAGGTGGGCTGACCTAGATCTTGCCTGCTGCCCACGTGGTGCCCCAGAAGTGGGTCTCTGCCTTTGCAACTCCTCTCCAGAGAAGAAGGCAGTTTTGTTGTTCTCCTTGGCCTGCTGCTGCTGCTGCTGTTTGTCTCCTTTGCTGTGCTTGTGCATAATCACGTGCAGAGTTCTGCGACCATCGCCTTGTGCATCCAGGAGCAGGAACCGTCAGGAAACGCTCTTGCTCCTGTTAACAGAGAAATCTGAGGGCTCCCTTGGACAAAAAACAAGGACACCAGCCAGGAAAATTGGAGCAAAACAGCAGCCAGTAGGCTTGGTCTTTCTTGAAGACTGTCGCGACAGGACTCCCACCTGCCACAAGATGGAAGCCCCAAACAAAAGAGCCCCCAAACTTTTATTAGCTGCTAATCCCCATGTTACACCCCCCACAAACTACATCACGGTTACATCACAAAAGGAGAGGTCTGGTGGCCGTAATCTGAGCATCCTGGACCCTGCCCCATGGTTCCCCTTGCCCTCCACCAAACACCCATCAAGTGGAACAAAAGAGATCTTTACATTTCCCTCTTTCCCAGCCACGTTAATCCCACCCTTTGGTCTTCATCTGGGTTGGTTATTCCTGGACTGGCTACCTGTCTGGCACTCAGGTATCAGGATGCCAGGGATTATCCCTCAGGCAGAGGGGCTACTGAGGAGCTGAGCTCACCTGTCTATAGGATTTTCTGAAGTTTTCCCAGTGAGCCAGTACAGAGACACATTTATCAGTGAATTCTTACATTTGGTATCGTGCAGCAAAGGCCCTTTGAATAGATAGGAAGAAACTGTGATGAAGCGTTTTGTGGGGACAAATCACAAAAGTCACAAAAGTGATTGTGCTGATTCTGGTAGTGGGCTGCATGTGCATGAGATCTGCTGGAGGGGCACCCCCCCAAACCTATACATAAATTCCTGCAACACTCCCAATCCACGGCCTGGAGATTTCTGTAATCAACAGGCTGATTTGTTTGTTGCCGGGAAGAGAATCCTCTTGCCCCAGTTGCCAGGGGGAGGGAAGGAGCCCCATCCCCTCTGGGACAGCCCTTCCCCGCCTCTGGGTTCCCCAGCAGACTCATTTGGCTTAATGAGTCTGTTATGGAATTAAGGGCCGGTTGGTATTTTTCTCTCTCTCCTCCCGGCTTGGGGAGACTGGACCTGATTCCCAGCTGAGCTGAATTGCAGAGAACTGCTTTTGTTTTCCAGCTCTTGAAAATTATTCCGCACACTGAGGTCCTCTTGAACACCCCACATTCACCGAGTGAGATCGGGGTGTCATATTTTAACATGCTCTTTCCCACATAAACTACGGGACAAGGATAACTCTGACTTTAAACATGAATGGGAACCTTTTACAAAGTACCGTATTTCGCTCTATAAGATGCACCAGACCACAAGACGCACCTAGTTTTTGGAGGAGGAAAACAAGAAGAAAAAATATTCTGAATCTCAGAAGCCAGAACAGCGAGAGGGATTGCTGCAATCCCTCTTGCTGTTCTGGCTTCTGGGATAGCTGTGCAGCCTGCATTCGCTCCATAAGACGCACACACATTCCCCCTTACTTACTAGGAGGGGAAAGGTGCGGCTTATAGAGCGAAAAATACGGTACTTAAAGATGCAACAAAGTGAATTGGACTTTTTATTGATAACAGCTAGACAAATTAAGGATCTATACAAATCTGTAACATGCAGAGAATAGCATTCATAGAGAAACCAGAGACTGGGACTGAGGGAAGTCGGGGGTGGGGAGGTGGGTTGTTTTATGGGAGGGAGGGGGGGAAATGGGGGTGGGAATTAAGGATGATATGTTTTAAGATACAGTGGTACCTTGGGTTACATACGCTTCAGGTTACACACTCCACTAACACAGAAATAGTGCTTCAGGTTAAGAACTTTGCTTCAGGATGAGAACAGAAATTGTGTGGCGGCGGCAGCACGAGGCCCCATTAGCTAAAGCGGTGCTTCAGGTTAAGAACAGTTTCAGGTTAAGAACAGACCTCTGGAGCGAATTAAGTACTTAACCCGAGGTACCACTGTAACATGTTTTGTTTAAATTTGTAATAACAAAATTACCGGTATTTTAAAAAACCATGCTCTTTCCAGTGCATCTTCCGGGCGGGGGGGGTTTTTCGATGCCCAGCCTTAACCCACTACAACGCCCCCCACCCCCGCTTACATTCACAGAAGTGTGGGGATGGAAGGGAGACCCCAAGCGCCATCTAGTCCGAGCTCAACATGAGCCAGTAGTGTGATGAAGCAGCAAAAAAGGCCAAGGCTATTCTAGGCCAGATCAATGGAAGTGATAGCACTGCTCTAGTCTGCCTTGGCCAGACCCGACCTGGAATCCAGGGTCCAGTTCTGGGCGCCCCAGTTTAAGAAGGATATCGACAAGCTGGCACATGTGCAGAGGAGGGCGACTGAGATGGCCAAGGGTCTGGTTGAGGGAGATGGGGATTTTTAGCCTGGTTTCCAGACCTTTGAAAGGGTCCTTCTGATCGGCAAGTCCTAGGCTCTGTAGTTTAACCCACAGGGCCACCCGTGTCCCAGATCATAGGTAGATAGCTTTAATTCTGTGGTCTAAACCACTGAGCCTCTTGGGCTTGCTGATAAGAAGGTCGGCAGTTCGAATCCCTGCGAGGGGGTGAGCTCCCGTTGCTCTGTCCCTGCTCCTGCCAACCTAGCAGTTCGAAAGCACACCAGTGCAAGTAGATAAATAGGTACCACTGCGGTGGGAAGGTAATCAGCGTTTCCATGCGCTCTGGTTTCTGTCATGGTGTTCTGTTGTGTCAGAAGCAGTTTAGTCCTGCTGGCCACATGACCCGGAAAGCTGTCTACGGACAAACACCAACTTCCTCGGCCTGAAAGTGTGATGAGCGCCGCAACCCCAGAGTCGCCTTTGACTGGACTCAGCCGTCCAGGGGTCCTTTACCTTCAATTCTATTAATGTTTCTTGTTTTTAATGAATGTTTCTTCTTATTCCTCCTGTGTTTTTTAGCTGTTCTTATTTTATCTGTTAGCAGCCGTGAGTCCCTGGCAGAGAAAAAAGATGGGGTATAAACAAACAAAATGATTCCAACTAAACATTTTAGGCAGAGCTATCTGACGGCAAGAGTTGTTTGACAGTGGAAGTGTCTTCCTCGGAAGGTGATCGACTCTCCTTGCCTGGAGGTTTTAAAGCAGAGGTCCCCGTCAGGGATGCTTTAGCTGTGAGTAAACTCATCAACAACCAGCAAACAAACAAGAAGAAGCATCTGTTGTGTAGATGGGAGGCGGTGCTTTGTTACCCGGAGTTACTTCTTGTAGGAAAGCCCCACCGCACTCAAAAAAATAATAAATCGGATTGCAAGAAGTTTTGGGAGGAGGACTATGCAAAATATTGCAGAGAAGATTATGAAGAGAATTGTTAGTTAAGGACAATTAAAAGTAATAAGGAAATTAAGAAGTGTAGATTAAGTGATAAAGATGGAAAAACCTTCAGATATGGTTGATGGAAGTTTAAAACACTGTATAAGATAAGAAATTATGTTATATGTCGTTTAAAGTTTAGTCCCAATATATATCCAATATTTAATCCAATTATCATGAAATTTCTGTTCATCTTGATCTCTTATTCTTCCTGTTATTCTAGCGAGCTCGGCATAATTTGTTAATTTAATCTGCCAATCACTTATATTAGGTATGGCGTCCGTTTTCCAATTTTGTGCTAACATGATTCTTGCGGCTGTTGTGGCATATAAAAATAGTACCTTATCTTCTTTTTTAATTTCTTTACCTGTCATTCCTAGCAGAAAGGCTTCGGGTTTTTTGGGAAATGTGTATTTAAAAAATTTTTTAAGCTCGTTATAAATCGATTCCCAAAAGCCTTTCACTTTGCTTCATAACCACCACATATGGTAGAAGTCACCATCTACTTCTCCACATTTCCAACATCTTTTGTTCTTTAACCTATAGATCTTAGCCAGTTTCACTGGTGTGAGGTACCACCTAAATATCATTTTCCACATATTTTCCCTTAATGCCATACATGCCGTGAACTTCATGTTAATATTCCATAATTCTAGCCATCTCTCAAAATCGATGTTATAGCCGATGTCTATTGCCCACTTAGTCATAACCTCCTTCACCTCCTGGTCTTTTGTATACCACTCCAATAAAATATCGTATATTCTAGGCAGTATTTTGTTCTTTCCTTCAACAACTTCCACATTGAATTTGGATTTTTTATCTTCGAATCCTATTTTCTTTTTATCTTCTTTTAACAGGTCATTTACCTGGTGGTATTGCAGCCACCCAGTAAATGAGTTTTTAATCTCTTCATAGGGTCTAAGTTTTATACCTTGATCCGTTTTCCTAGTCAGTTCTTCATAGGTAGGATTCTTCCCTTCCATATTAACTTTTTTGACTGTTAACACCTCTGTTGGTGAGATCCACCAGGGTGTCTTCCTTTCCAATAGGTTTTTATTTCTTTCCCATACTTGGAATATTGGCCCTCTAAAAATATGGTTTAAAAGCCTCTATGTACTTTCACCTTTTCATACCACAGGTACGAGTGCCACCCGTACCTGTTATCGAAGCCTTCAAGATCCAAGACGTCTCTGTTTTCTAGCGTTATCCAGTCTTTCAACCACGATAAACACGCCGCCTCATAGTATAAACATCAGTCCGGAAGGAGAAACCCCCTCTTTCTTTTTATCTACCAGTATTTTCATTTTTATTCGTGGTCTTTTTCCCTGCCAGATGTATCTCGCCAAGGCTCTTTGCCATTCTTTACATTGCTTTAAACCTTTAAGTACCGGGATGGTTTGAAATAAAAATAACATTCTAGGCAAAACGTTCATTTTAATAACCGCTATCCTCCCCAAAAAAGATAATCTCATTCTCTCCCAGATTTCTAAGTCTTTCTTAATGTTCTTCCAGGTGACCTCATAGTTATCCTTATATAGATTGATGTTCTTAGCCGTAATCCAGACTCCAAGGTACTTCACCTTTTTTGCCGTCATAATTCCGGTTTTTTGTTCTAGGTCTACTATATCTTCTTTAGACACTGGCGGGATTGGAATAACTCTAACAGTAAAAGGTTATTATGTAAAAGAGATAAAATACGTGAATATAAAGTCTATTTGATACTTACCAAAGGAGTGGAAGGAAGTTCAAGGCTTGGCAGAGCCTAAAATAAATGTATTTATGATTTATGGAATGAATATATTATGTGTAATTTAAGTATTGGACTTTGTATAAGTTTATATGTATATATGTATAATACCAATAAAAATTTATCAGTGGAAAAAAAAAAGAAATTATGTTATATGATTGTTAGGAATATGTAAAAAATAATAAAAATATATACAAAAAAAAATATAAATTCCTCCCACCGCAATTTCAACTGTTTCTACCCCTCTGGTGGAATTAGCCGACACGACCTCTCATAGCCCTGTTGCTGAATTAACGGCTTTTTCCAGCTCTGCGTTTAATCATTAAAACAATGAAGATTACAGCTGAACTCTGCCTGAAACCCAGCCCTATAATTCGGTTTTCACACCCGACCAAAGGTCTGTCGTTACTTGTTTTTCCGTCTTCGCTTGGCTTGATTTGCATCCTGCCAAGCAGCTCAGGATTTGACCCTCCCCCTTCGTCCTCATGACAAACTTGCGAGGTAGGCTAGGCTTAGAGACTGTAATTTAACTGAGGAGGAATGGTTTTCAGATAAGGGACTAGGCAGAAAAGGGCAAAGCTGACGGCGAAATTAAGAGACCCAAAGGATGAACTTTCTCTAGAAGAACATGAACTATTTTGAAAAGCATTACAGTCAAATGAAATTGCAGGCAGCGTTGGAGATAAAAGCAGCAAATGAAAAATGACAAAGTAATTGCTAACAGAGGAACTTTGGGTAATGGATAAAGAGATAATGCAGTGGGAAAAGTTTGAGCAAAACACTGTGGAGACGAGGGTGGGAAAGTCAACTCACGAAACTATGTAATTCTTTGATTTGAAGGTCATTGCAAAAAACGTTTTGTAATAAACGAAAATCTGCCCTTATTCCCTTATGGGGGACCCAAGAGCCCTTATAGAGTCCTTTGCAGGCTCTCCGTCGGTCGGAGAAAATAACAGAGGCCAAGCAGAGAATATTGAGAAGCAAAGCAGCTTGTAAGCCTGATCTTTATTGATCAGTTGCGACAGGGTGCTCCCCTCACCCGCAGGAGAAGGAGGAGGACCCAGAATCCAGGTGTGCCCGCCCTTATATAGACATTTTAAATTGCCCGTCCAAGACCACCCCCAGGTACATCATACCTATGTCAAAGAAAGGGCGGTCTACAACATAAATCTGAGTGTGTTGTTTATCTCCTGTCTGGCAGGTTACCTGTTAATGCTCACTTGATTGGATACCCTGGGGAGCCTGGCCAGTCTTTTGTAATGATAAATACTTAGTTTCTGAGCCAGGTCACAGGCTCACACCCTATTCATACACAGACATACCCTTAAGACAGGATTTGTGAAGGAAAAGACAATGAGGAGGCTTTTCCATTTTCCTTCGACCTTGCAGAGAAATCATTTGGTCAGTTTGGTAGTCAAAATGGTTTCAGGGCTGTTTTCCTGCGCTGCTTCAGACATGTGGTTTATATATTTATGTACGTGTTTGCTTGGTACATTTATGAACATTTATTATATATATAAGACCTTTTTTTTATTTCAGTTTGAAAAATATAATTAAATGAGAGAGAGAGAGAAAGATATTGTAATTAGCCTGAGGTCACCCAAGTGTGTTTCCTCACCCAAGTGAGTGAAGAATTAGGACCCTGTTCTAACCACAACTGCAGGGTTGGTCTGGATGAGCCCTGGAGGACCCTCCCCTCCCTGCAGTTCTGCAATGCCCACTGTTGCAGGAATGTATGTATAGGTTGGGGGGGTTGCTCCTCCAGCAGATATCCTGCACATGCAGCCCACTACCAAAACCAGCACAATCCCTTTTGTGACTTGTCCCCGCAAAACACTTCATCACAGTTTCTTCCTATCTATTCAAAGGGCCTTTGCTGCACAATACCAAATGTAAGAATTCCCTGATCAATGTATCTCTGTACTGGCTCACTGGGAAAACTTCAGAAATTCATCTAGACATGTGAGCTCAGCTCCTCAGCAGCCCCTCTGCCTGAGTGATAATCCCTGGCATCCTGATACCTGAGTGCCAGACAGGTAGCCATTCCAGAAATAACAAACCCAGATGAAGACCAAAGGGTGGGATGAACTGGGCTGGGAAACAGGGAAATGTAAAGATCTCTTTTGTTCCACTTGCTGGGTGTTTGGTGGAGGGCAAGGGGAACCATGGGGCAGGGTCCAGGATGCTCAGATTACGGCCACCAGACCTCCCCTTTCATGATGTATGAGTGATGTAGTGGGGGGGTGTAACACGGGGATTAGCAGCTAATAAAAGTTTGGGTTCTCTTTTGTTTGGGGCTTCCATCTTGTTTCACCTGGTGGCAGGTGGGAGTCCTGTCGCGACCGTCTTCAATAAAGACCAAGCCGACTGGCTGCTGTTTTGCTCTGGTATTCCTGGCTGGTATCCTTGTTTATTGTCCAAGGGAGCCCTCAGATTTCTCCGTTAACAGTGACTACCCATCAGTGATTTGTGAGCTGTGATTCTTGCATGTCAGGGGTTGGACTGGATGACCCCTAGGGGACCCTCTCCTCTCCGCAGTCCAGCAATGCCCTCTTCTCTTCTCTCCCCGCAGCCCTGAGCGCTGGCGCCCGGGAAGTCCACCTCCCTCCGGGGCCGTTGTACCGCGTGGAAGGGACGTCGGTCTCCATCCCCTGCAACGTCTCGGAGTACGAGGGCCCCACCCTGCAGCACTTTGAGTGGTTCCTCTACCGCCCGTCGGCCCCCGACATCTCCATCGGAGTGGTCAGCACCAAGGACCCCAAGTTCCCTTACGCCGTCTTCGCGCCCCGGGTGCAGGCGGGCAATGTCTCCATCCAGCGGCTGCGGGGGGATGCCGTGGCACTGCGGATCAAGGGGGTGCGCCCGGAGGACGCGGGGGTCTACGAGTGCTACACCCCCACCACCGACTCCAAGTACCACGGGACGTACAGCAGCAAGGTGGAGCTGAGAGGTACGGCGGCGACGGAGGGGTGTCGGGGGGCAGAACTGAAAGGGGGGGGGAGAAAGTTGAAGACAGCGGAAGGGTAAGGAGAGTCATTCTGGATCGGCCAAAGGGGGCCATTCCTAGCCCAGCCCCCTGTTCTCCCAGGGGTCAAATTCCCCTTTGGTCTCAAGAGACAATGGAGTGAAGTCAAATCTCTGGAGAATCACAGCACCTGCTGTGGCTGCAGAGACTGGTATAATAATAATAATAATAATAATAATAATAATTATGATGATGATGCAGAGACTGGTATAACAACAACAACAACAACAAACAACAACAACAATAATAACAATTGTTGTTATTATTATTATTATTATTATTATTATTATTATTAAATGGTTTCCCCAGCCACTCTGGGCGGCTCCCAATCGAATATTAAAAACACAATACAGCATTAAACATTAAAAACTTCCCTGAACAGGGCTGCCTTCAGATGTCTTCTAAAGGTCAGATAGTTGTTTATGCCTTTGACATCTGGTGGGAGGGCGTTCCACAGGGCAGGTGCCACCACCAAAAAGGCCCTCTGCCTGGTTCCCTGTAACTTGGCTTCTTGCAGCAAGGGAACCACCAGAAGGCCCTCGGAGCTGGACCTCAGTGTCCGGGCAGAACAATGGGGGTGGAGACGCTCCTTCAGGTCTACTGGGCCTTTGAGGCCGTTTAGGGCTTTCAAGGTCAGCATTGTGCTCAGAAACTTACTGGGAGCCAGTGAAGATCTTTCAGGACCTGCTGCCTCCTGCGTTGCTTTTGCTGTGTTGGCAGCACTGAAGTGACCCCTCCGGGGTGTAAGCCTGGTTGGTGGGTCTGGAGGTCCTGGGCTGCTCCGATGACCAGGCCCCCCCTCCTCAGCCTCACTCGTCCAGAGGAAAGTGGAGCGAGACATTTGGCACATTGTGGCTGCAGGAGTTGCTGGAGGGAGGCATACAAAATGCCACGCAGCCGCCTTAGGGATTTGTGTAAGGCCTACTCCCCAGCCAAAGAAGGCAGCAGGTTTGGATTCTTTTCTCGGGGCTTGCACCCGAAGCCTTTCGCATGAATGTGTATGGCTGCAAGGCAGGAGAGGTTTAGCATCAGCGTTTTCCTCCTCAAATTCCCCCAAGAACTTAGGAATGTAGATAGACTGCCACTGGGGCTGGAGGCTCCGCAAACGCGGCACCACGCTGGCTCTGATGGGCAAGACTCTCCTGACGTTCCCATGGCTCTGCTGTCCCTCCACGGAGGCAGGAAATGCAGGGACTTGCAAGCGGGGAGAGTTGCGCTCCGGTTTTGGGCTTGCTTTTGGGCTTCCAGCTGGCCCTTGGCCTGATCCAGTAGGCTCTTCCAGTGACCTAATGGAACCTCCAGCTCCACAGGCAGTCTATCTGGATTCCTAGGTCCTGTGGGGTATTTGGCCCCCATGAGAACAGAGGGCTGGCCGAGATGGCCTGACCCAGCAGCCTGACTTCCTTAGGCGCAGGAAAGTGCCTATTTAAATATGCAATACTATGTTAATTGAAGGTCAAATCCTGTGAGCTTCGTGGCAGCCATGCGTGAATTCGAATCCTGCTCTCTCCCGGTCCTGGTCCTCGTTGAATCCCCTCGAAAACGACCCTGTGAGTTAGGCAAGCCCGAGAGAGGCTGTGACTGGCCCTGAGGGTCCTCATCTGACACTCTAACCACTAGACCTCGCTGCCTCTGGGACCGATTGTAGGATGCAGGCACCTTCCGCGGTCATCTGACGTGGAGGTTTATTGCATTAGCAATGGTGATTTCCCCCGAGGTCGCTGCTGTATCTGTTGCTCCGCTAATCCGTTTAGCGGCTGGGACGAGCAGATGGCCTCTGAGTCTGGAGTTGTCTGCAGGCCAAGCTCTGCCGAGTGGGCAGCCCTGCGGGGCGGGCCGTGGGGGGGCGTGAGAGGAGGAGGGGGCCCCATCTGGCTCCCCATCTGAAGCCCCCACGTCCTCCTGGCAGCTAAATCCAGAGAAGAAATCTTTCTGGGGCTGGGAACTCCTGCCTCTGTTCATTGCGGACCTTGGGTTTTTTTAAAAAAATAGTATTTTTATTAAAGTAAATTGTATCCACCTCTCTTCTCTGTCCCTGCACCAAGAGCCAGTACAGTTAGACTGTGGAACTCCCTGCCACTGGAGGGAGTGCTGGCCAGCAGCCTAGATGGCTTCAAAGAAGCCCAAAGTTTGGATGAATTAATAAAGGAGAAGAGGGCTATTAAGGCTACTAGCCAGAATGACCTGCAAGAGAAGAGAGTGTTTCTCTTGTGTTCAGATTCTGCTTGTGGGTTTCCTGTAATGGGCGCCTGGTTGGCCACTGTGGGCACGATAGTCTCCCTTGGGCCTGATCCAGCAGACCCTTCTCATGTCCTTCTGGATATCTTTCCCAGTCTGCTTCTGCACTGAAACTGGTTTCAAGATGCTTTGATGGCGTACTTAGCGCCCCTGGCTTCTTTGGGAGGGAGGACAGGAGAGAAATTGAATTTAAAATGTATTTTGTTTGTCTGTAAAATGGAAGTGTGGATGCGGGTGGTGCTGTGGGTTAAACCACAGAGCCTAGGGCTTGCCGATCAGAAGGTTGGTGGTTCGAATCCCCGTGATGGGGTGAGCTCCCGTTGCTCATTCCCAGCTCCTGCCAACCTAGCAGTTCGAAAGCACCCCAAAAAGTGCAAGTAGATAAATAGGTACTGCTCCGGCGGGAAGGTAAACGGCGTTTCCATGCGCTGCTCTGGTTCGCCAGAAGAGGCTTAGTCCTGCTGGCCACATGAGCCGGAAGCTGACCCTCGGCCAATAAAGTGAGATGAGCGCCGCAACCCCAGAGTCGGCCACGACTGGACCTAATGGTCAGGGGTCCCTTTACCTTTACTTTAAAATGGAAGTGTTGGTTTTTGTTGTTGTTTTTTAAAAGTAGGTTTTTAAACTGCTTTACGTTTTCATAGCTCTCCCTGGGACCTTTGAGTGAAGGGTGGAAAATAAAATAAAACAAAACAGGCAGTGCGGTGTAGTGGTTAGAGCGCTGGACTATGACGTTGGAAAGACCAGAGTTCAAATTTGCACTCAGCCATGAAACGCACTGGGTGGGACCTCAAGGCTTCTCTCAGCCCAACCTACCTCACAGGATTGTTGTGGGGATTAAATGGGGAGGGGGAGAACCCTGTGGGCCCCCTTGAGTGCCCTAGAGAAAAAGGTGGGGGTAGAAATGCAATACATTCTACTCAAGTTTAGACCCATTGAGATGAATTAACTTACGTTCACCTTGCTGATTAATTTCAGTACAACTAGCAGTGAGCACAACTCGCAGAAGCCAGGTGGGCTCAGAGTCGAACGAAAAACCAGCCGATTGTTCATGAGAAACGTCCTCATTCTCTTTTCTCGAACCAACATGCAAACCGAAACACACTTTTTGGAATCTGCACTTTTCTCAATTTTGCAGTGCGGTGCAACTCTCTAACCGGCGTGTGTGTTATACGGTGGTACCTCGGTTCTCGAACGTAATCCATTCCAAGAAAACATTCGACTTCCGAAATGTTCGAAAACCGAGGCGCAAAGGGTTGGCTGTGAGTCCAGTTGGAAAAACTGAAAAACACACAGTGGAAGCCGTTCGACTTCCAAGGCGCGTTTGAAAATGGAAGCAATGACTTCCGGGTTTTTGGCGTTCGAAAACCGAAATGTTCAAGTTCTGAGACGCTCGAAAACCGAGGTACCCCTGTCTATGCATGCCTCAATTTGGAGAAGGAGTGCCTCAAAATACCATTAACCCCCCCTTGAAAATTCACCAGAACTTTAGTGCAGATCCCCCCTTAACAAACGTACAGTATTTTTCGCTCTATAGGACGCACCGGACTATAGGAGGGGGAGAACGGGGGGGAGGGAATTCTCCCCCTCTCTGCGCAGCGCCCCTTCAGCAAAGCGGCAGGAGAAACAGAGCCCCTTCCATTTCTCCTCCCGCTTCGCTGAAGGGGCGCTGAGCAGAGAGGGAAAACTGTGCAGCGCCTCTCCAGCGAAGCGAAGCCTGGAGAGCAAGAGGGATTGATGTGCACCGACGCCCTCGCTGTCCAGGCTTCAGGCGGCTATCCGCAAGCCTTCGGAGCGCAGCGGGAACTCCTGCTTGCGGATAGCTGCCTGAAGCCCCCGGAGAGCAGCTGGAGTTCCCACTGTGCTCCAGGGGCTTCAGACGGCTTCAGTGAACGCGACACGAAGCCTCCGGAGCGCAGGGGGAGCTCTCCCTCTGTGCTTCGGAGGCTTTGCGTTGCTATTGCTGAAGCCAAGGAGCCTGCATTCGCCCCATAGGACGCACACACATTTCCCCTTCATTTTTGGAGGGGAAAAAGTGCATCCTATAGAGAGAAAATTTGGTATGTGTTTTGGGTGCGGTTTTGTCTAAGACGCCCATTTTTGCAGAGCCGTAATTTCCCCATCGCCTGATGCGATTGAGGGGGGCCCTGATCCGCTTTTCCTCCTGCCCCACAGTCATCCCCGACAAGCTCTCCGTGTTGCCGGCTGCTCCTTCCGCCCCGAAGCCCCCTTTGCGCAGCCGGGGGGCTGTGCCCGCCTCTCCGCTGCAGCTGACGCTTTGGGAAAGCCAGGACCTCCAGCTGACGTGCGCCGTGAGCAGCCAGACCCCACAGCACGTCCACCTCTCCGTCTCCTTCGGCCTGTCTGCCCCCGATGCCTCCAGGGACGTCCAGCCTCTGCAGGAGGTGATCGCCGTGCGCAGAGACTTCGCCGTGGAGGCTGGCGAGAGATTCGCCGAGCGCCACCGGGCGCAAGAGCTGTCGCTGGCCAAGACGGGTGACCGGCGGTACCAGATGGTCCTGGGTTGGCTGAGGCCCGAAGACGCCGGGATCTACCACTGTGTCGCCGGGGAGTGGATCCAGGATCCTGACGGAAGCTGGCAGCAGATTGCAGAGAAGCGGGTGGTGCTGGCTCAAGTCACCGTCCGCACTGTAGGTATGATATGATATGATACGATACAATACAATAATCTTTATTGTCATTGTCCCATACAGAACAACGAAATTGAAAAATTCAAAAACCAGCAAGCCTGCTATCCCAGCTATCCCAGCCTGGTTAGCCCCCTAAAAACTCTGGTACTCCATTTTTAAATACAATATACTCCCATAGAATGGGATGCGGGTGGCGCTGTGGGTTAAACCACTGAGCCTAGGACTTGCCGATCAGAAGGTCGGCGGTTCGAATCCCCACAACGGGGTGAGCTCCCGTTGCTCTGTCCCTGCTCCTGCCAACCTAGTAGTTTGAAAGCACGTCAAAGTGCAAGTAGATCAATAGGTACCGCTCTGGCGGGAAGGTAAACGGCGTTTCCGTGCGCTGCTCTGGTTCGCCAGAAGCGGCTTAGTCATGCTGGCCACATGACCCGGAAGCTGTATGCCGGTTCCTTCGGCCAGTAAAGCGAGATGAGCGCCGCAACCCCAGAGTCGGTCACGACTGGACCTAACGGTCAGGGGTCCCTTTACCTTTACCCTACTTCCATAGAGACTCCTTACCCTGTGTTTAAAACCAGGTGAGTTTTCCTCGGGAGGAGGGATCCACAGAGCAGAGGGATCCACTGTGGCTCTTGGAGATGGGAGAGTCTGAGGGTGAAGATCCGTTTGGCAGTGGAATGGGCTCCGTCGGAAGGTGGCGGATTCGCCTTCGCTGGTGGTTTGGAAGCAGAGGTTCGGTGGCCACCTGCCAGGGATTCCTTTGCTGCGAGTCCTGCATCCGTTGAATCGTACAAATTCAAAGGGACCCCAAAGGTCCTCTAGTCCACCCCCTGCAATCACTGCTACAGAATCCCTGACAGGTGGCCATCCCACCTCTGTTGAAAAACCTCCGGCGAAGGAGAGTTCACCACCTTTTGCTCCACTGCCAAATGGCTCTTCCTAAAGTTGTCAGAAACTCCTTTCTTGCAATTTGGATCCATTGGTTTGTGTGCCCTGCGGAGCAGGAGAATACAGTCATACCTCTAGTTACGTTCGGTTCAGGTTACGTCTTTTCAGGTTGCATCCCACGGCAACCCAGAAGTACCAGAAAGGGCTACTTCCGGGTTTTGCTGCTCGCACATGCACAGATGCACAAAATGACGTCATGCGCATGTGCAGAAGTGGCGAATCGCGGCACACGCAGACGCGGGTTGCGTTCTGCTCATGTTGCGAATGGGGCTCCGGAACGGATCCCGTTCGCAACCAGAGGTACCACTGTACCAGCTTGTTCCCTCTTCCATGGGACAGCCTTTCAGATACAGTGGTCCCTTGGGACTCAAACAACTTGGAACCCAAACACTACAAACCTGGAAGTAAGTATTCCGGTTTGCAAACTTTTTTCAGAAGCTGAGCGTGCTCCGTTTTGAGTGTTACGCTTCCGATTTGAGTGTTACGTTGAGGTCTGTCTGGTTTTGCTATTTACTTTGCATTTTTGTTTTTGGGACCTTTTTCTTTTGTTTTTGTGACTGTGTGGAACCCAGTTCAGCTATTGATTGATTGTGTGACTGCAGTACATTGTTTATTGCTTTCATTTTATGGATCAAGGATCTTGTTAGATAGTAAAATTCATGTTAAATTGCTGTTTGGGGGGTTGTTTTTAAAAGTCTGGAACGGATTAATCCATTTTGCATTACCTTCTATGGGAAAGCGTGCCTTGGTTTTGGAACGCTTTGGTTTTGGAACAGATTAAATTTGAGAACCAAGGTACCACTGTATTTGAAGATGGCTCTCATACCTTTTCTCAGTCTCCTTTTCTCCAGACTAAACATATCCAGCTTCCTCAACTGCTCCTCATAAGGCCTGCCTGCTTGCCCTCCTCTGCGCACCTTCCAGCTTGTCGACATCCTTCTTAAACTGTGGTACCCAGAACTGGACACATTATTCCAGGTGGGGTCTGGCCAAGGCAGAAGAGAGCAGAACTATGACTTCCCTGGACCTAGAATTAATTGCATTAGCCTTTTTTGCTGCTGCATCACATGGTTGACTCCTGTCAAAATCGTGATCTGCTGGGACCCTTTGATCCTTTTCGCACGGGCTGCTCTGACCTTCTCCCCCCTGACTTTCTCTTCCTCTGCTTTCAGCCAGCCAGTTGGCCGCCTCCGCCACCCCCGCCAAAGTCCGCGTCGGCTCTGGAGAAGCCCTGGAACTCCTCTGCAACGCCTCTGGCCTCCAGGGCGCCCCTTTGCCTCACACCGTCTACTCCCTTGGCTGGGAAGTGAGCCAGGGCAGTGAGGGAGAAGGGCGCCTGGTGGCCCGCTTGGACCCGGACGGGGCGCTCGTCCTGGGTGACAACTATGCCAACCGCGACGTCGGCCGGCGCCATGTCTCCCTGCAGAAACTGGCCTCCCCTCTGGGCTCCTACCAGCTGCGGATTGAGTCGGCGCAGCCCAGCGATGTGGGCTCCTACCGCTGCGTGGTGTGGGCCTTTGTGCGCTCCCCTGGCGACAAGCTGCGCGAAGTGGCCAGTGTCCGGTCCGAGGCCCTGACGGTGGACATGAAATCGGAAGGTGCGTATGGAGTCACTGAACTGGCTTTGGGTCCCCAAATTTCCCTCTCCTTTGCTGGGATAAGGACACTTTGCAGCCCTGGAACCGTTAAAGCTGATTCCGCTCTCATGTCCTGTTTAGATTCTCCTTCTCCTTCTCCTTCTCCTTCTCCTTCTCCTTCTCCTTCTCCTTCTCCTTCTCCTTCTCCTTCTCCTTCTCCTCCTCCTCCTCCTTCTCCTCCCCCTCCTCCTTTACATATATTTATTCATTTACAGTGGACGCTCGGGTTGCGAACATGATCCGTGCGGGAGGCATGTTCGCAACCCACATCATTTGCAACCCCCAGCGCTGCGTCTGCGCACGCGCAGGTCACAATTTGGCACTTCTGTGCATGCGCAAAGCGCGATTTAGCACTTCTGCGCATGTGCAACTGCCAGTACTTACGGGTTTCGGCACGTCTGAAACCCGAAAACACGCAACCTGAAGCATCTGTAACCTGAGGTACGACTGTACATTTATTTCATAAAACACACTGCTTTATTGTAAAAACAATCCTCAAATGGCTTAAATAAGACAAAACAGTGCAATCAAGGGAAAATTGCAATAGTTTAAAACATGGGGAAAGTTAAAATAGGCCGGTTAAAATTCACATTGGCTTTCCAAGCATCTGAGCAGAGTTGAAGTAGCTCACTGTGTGTGTGACCTTAGTCCAGTCGCTCCCTCTCAGCCTCACCTGCCTGCCAAGGTTGCTTGAGGAGAAAAAGGAGGAAGAGGAAATAAACCGTAAAAAAATAAAAAAAATCCCCTGTGCAGTTGAATAGAACAATAGTTTTTGAATATGTATTTTTAGTTAATGTAAAATCAAAAGGGCAAACAGAACCAGGCGGGCGCCCTCTGTGCCAATTTTTAAATGCCTGCTGAAAACCTTCCTCTCCCGCCAGGCAGGCGGTTCGGAAAAAACATCCCTACACAAAGGCCCCTGGATCCTGCTTCTAATTTCTTTTTGCTTTTGACTCACTTTAAACTTCCCGTGACTTTACTGTCCAGTTTGGGGTTTTCATTTTTTTTTTAACAGAATAAAACTTTATTTAGAATTCAACAATAACAAAGGAAAAAACCACAGTAGCTGCTACATCAAATCAATACAATTAACCAACATTTTATAAATACTAAGAAAGAAATTACACAACATGACTTTTAACTTGCTGAGGTTTTCATAATACACTTTTATCTCTTTCTTAACATATCAAAAATAGAAAGACCAGGAAAGGAAACACAAAAAAGAAAAGAGAAAAAGAAGAAGGGGGGGGGGAGTGAAGGGAGGGGGGGAGAAAAAAGGAAGAAGGAAACAAAGCAAAACAAACATATTTGGCTTCCGATTAGACTCATTGTATTATTATTTCTACAATTTCTTCACACACAGTTCCAAGTTATTGTATTTCTTTCTTTGTTCTCATCAGATATCAGAAAACATTATATTTGCTGTTTTACAAGGATCATTCTATTTATGCCAGGAGAGATTTGTTATTGTAATACTTTTCCAAATACTCTTTAAAGATTTTCCATTCTTTCTGTACTTTCTGTTTTGGATACCCTCTAATTCTCCCTGTCATCATAGCCATTTGTAGATATTCTAGCATTTGGACGGTTTGGGGTTTTCATATTGTAAACCTCCGTGATACAATTTTATAATACGCTGCTATAAAAATATTTATTTATGCAAATAAATAAGGACTGGACAAGTTCATAGATGAGAGGGATATCCAGGGCTCCTGGCCACGATGGAGGCAGCAGGGCTTCTGAATGGCCGTTGCTGGAAGCCATGGGACGCCAGAGATGCCCTTGCGCTTGGATCCTGCTTGCGGGTTTCCCAAATGGGACATCTGGCTGGCCCCTGTAAGGAGAGGACCCTAGATGGGCCCCCTTTGGCCTGAGCCAGCAGCCAGGCTCTTCTTCGGTCCCAATAATAATAATAATAATTTACTATTTACACGGGTGGTGCTGTGGGTTAAACCACTGAGCCCAGGACTTGCCGATCAGAAGGTCGGCGGTTCGAATCCCCGCGACGGGGTGAGCTCCCGTTGCTTGGTCCCTGCTCTTGCCAACCTAACAGTTCAAAAGCACGTCAAAGTGCAAGTAGATCAATAGGTACCGCTCCGGCGGGAAGGTAAACAGTGTTTCCATGCGCTGCTCTGGTTCTCCAGAAGTGGCTTAGTCCTGCTGGCCACATGACCCGGAAGCTGTACGCCGGCTCCCTCGGCCAGTAAAGCGAGATGAGCGCCGCAACTCCAGAGTCGGTCACGACTGGACCTAATGGTCAGGGGTCCCTTTACCTTTACTTTTTACGTTTTACCCTGCCACTCTGGGCGGCTTCCAACAAAACACTATAATACAATAACCTATTAAACATTAAAAGCTTCCCCAAACAGGGCTGCCTTCAGATGTCTTCTAAAAGTTTGGTAGTTGTTTTTCTCTTTGACATCTGATGGGAGGGCATTCCACAGGGCGGGCACCACCACCGAGAAGGCCCTCTGCCTGGTTCCCTGTAACTTGTCTTCTTGCAGCCAGAAGGTCCTCAGCGGGCGCTGGACCTCAGTGTCCGGGCAGAACGACCTCAGTTCCTAGGTTCTCTTGGCCATCACTGGAAGAGGGTGCTGGGACTCAATGGGTTGGCTCTCCTTACGCTAAGAAAAATGATAATCGAAGCTGCTAGGCAGAAGCGTGTCTCCGAGATACGTCTCCAGGGTTTGGCGATGCTGAGGCTGTCCTCTTCTCTGCCCCCCCCCCCGCAGCGGTGGTGCTTGAGGCCACGGCGTGGCTGCCGTCCGCCACCATCTACCGCGGGGACACGGCCGAGGTGCGCTGCAACGTCTCGGTGGAAGCCACGCAGGACATCGCCCTGGCCCTCAGCTGGTGGGTGGAGCTGCCCGACGAGGGACCCACCTCTCACGGGGTCCTGCTGGCCTCCGTCAACCGCGAGGGGGTGGCCGACTTGGCCAGCCGGCCCTCGGGGGGCGCTGTCAGCGTGGACAAAGCCGGCCCCACCAGCCACCGCCTGCGCCTCCACGGGGTGCAGCCGTCGGACGAGGGCAAGTACCACTGCGCCGTCACTGCCTGGGTGCGCTACCCGGATCTCAGCTGGTACAAGGCTGGGTCCGCCAAGTCCAACATGGTCACTGTCTATCCGTACACGTTGGGTGAGTAACCCCTTCTTTTTTCGGGAGGGGGGAGTCGGGCAGAATCCTCCTGTTGGGAGATTTGGGGCAGATGATGCCCTTTTTCACAGATGAAAAGAAAGGCCTTCTTTGCAGAGCGCGGAGTTAAGCTGTGGAACTCCTTGCCACAGGAGCCAGAGATGACCAACCTTGGTGCCTTTAAAATCCGGTTGGACAAATATATGGAGGAGGAGATGGCTGTCAGTCGCCTGTTATAGTAATTCTAAGGTCTTTTCCCCCCCAATTTTTTTTATTCATTTCATAACACAAATAAACAATGCAAACAGAAAAACAAATAATACAAACAAATTCTTGTCTCATCCTTATTTTTTCTGAACATTGTTAGGTGAGCTTCCCCAAGTCCCCCCATCTGATTTTCATTTTACCTCATTTTTAGCAGTTTCATATATCATAATTTTTAACCATTATTATCACAGTTACTTACCATAAGAATCTTCACATTTTATCACTTACAAATAATACTGCTTTAAAATACACTATCGTCTAACCCTGCAGCCTATATCCACTTCCAAAGCTATTCTAAGATTTAAGTGATTCTAAGGTCTTAAATATAGAATAAATGTTGATAATTGCACGAGGTAAACACACATACATAAGCATATACAGTGGTACCTCGGGTTAAGTACTTAATTCGTTCCGGAGGTCCGTGCTTAACCTGAAACTTTTCTTAACCTGAAGCACCACTTTAGCTAATGGGGCCTCCTGCTGCTGCCGTGCCGCCGGAGCACATTTTCTGTTCTTATCCTGAAGCAAAGTTCTTAACCTGAAGCACTATTTCTGGGTTAGTGGAGTCTGTAACCCGAAGCGTCTGTAACCCGAGGTACCACTGTAACTCACATGTCTACAATAGTACAGGAGAGCAATCCCAAAGCCATCTTGGCTCTCCTAAAGATGCTCAATATTTCCTTTGCCTCCTCAGTCCCCCTTGCCTGAGAGCAGGGAGGCAGATAGCAAGCAGGGGAAGTTCCTCTCCTATATCTATGAACCTCCTTGGGATTCATTGCCATTGTTTGTCAAGGTGCTCTCTGCATTGAGAGATGTCTGAGGTCTTATCAAATGCTAATGTCTTGTGTAAACTGTGTCTGGAGCTATGTAAAATTTGCCAGATCCTCAGGAATATCACACCTTGGCCTGCCTGAGCCACATTCACCCCGCCTTATGGGTGATGGGATTGCTGGCGGTTTGTAGAGATGTCCTCCTTCTCCATGCCAAAACACAAACCCTTAAAAGGGTTCTGTGTCTCTGTTGCAACAGAAAAATAAAGATTTGCCTTGCTTTCACGGCATCCAGCCTCCATCCATTCATCTCTGACCAATCGTGGACTTAGAGGTGTTATGGAAAAATCTAGGTGCGAGGCTGCTCAGTCCCCCAGCTGGTCAGGCAGAGCCCACGGGAATAAAGGAAGGAGTCCAGCCACCAACCGGAGCAAATAGCTGTAGACCAAAGTTTATTGCGCAACAGGTTCAAAGAGGAATTTTGCAGGTGACGACAAAAGCACAGGGCAGGGCAGCCACCTCTCTCTTTTGACTACATGTGTCGAAGAAGCAACATCTGCTTAGCCAAAGATGCTCTCTTGGCCCCCAGCCAAGAGAGGACAAAGGGACGGTCTCCTTATGAGATAGTTTCCAGGTGTATGTTACTTCTCTAAGCAAAGTCTGCCTTCTGGGATCTGACTGTGAACAGAATGATGTGTGAGTAAACCTTTTTATACTTTTATAGAAGACTGTGTCGTGTCTTATCTTTTATGAGAGAATAAGGGGGAAAAACAGAACAGTTATTATAGAGGCTTTAGCGAGCCTGAGCAAACGTCTCTGCTGTGAGTTTAAAAGGGGGAATGTTACTCTGCTAAATTGTGGAACTTGTTCATGCAAGTTGGAAAGGTTATAATCAAACAATGTATCCTCTCCTGCATCCTCCGGAACACTCCCACATTTTTTGACAGCTGAAAATTTCCCTCTGAATTATCCAAACGAAAAGGACTCTGGTTTTTTGGGAAAGGTGCTTTTAAACCGAGCCCATTGCCCTCTTGACCCTCTTCCGTTTCTTCCTCTCCTCTCCCCAGCCATCGACACCTTGTTCATCCCTCTCCTGGCCGGTGTCTCCAGTGCCCTCTTCATGGGCGTCACCGTCCTCGTCACTGTCACCTGCTGCTTCATGAAGAGGCTCCGGAAGAGGTGAAAGCCAGACGAGAGGAAGGAGGTGATGCACCTTTGCCAGGTGGGGTGCTGTGTGTGTGTGTGTGTTTGTGTTCCGTGTCTCCCTGTCCTCCTTTGGGTTCGGCCGAACCTCAGCAGTCAGGGAGGACCCTCAGCTCTCTGTTTAAAGGGGGGCCAGATCTGCTCCTGCCCACCCTCCTTTGCAAATTTGGTTGCTGAATAGCCATCAGGTATTTTGCTGCATGTAGGGAAGCGGGTGGCGCTGTGGGTTAAACCACAGAGCCTAGGACTTGCCGATCAGAAGGTCAGCAGTTCAAATCCCCGCGACAGGGTGAGCTCCCGTTGCTCGGTCCCTGCTCCTGCCAACCTAGCAGTTCGAAAGCACATCAAAGTGCAAGTAGATAAATAGGTACCGCTCCGGCGGGAAGGTAAACGGCATTTCCATGCGCTGCTCTGGTTCGCCAGAAGCGGCTTAGTCCTGCTGGCCACATGATCTGGAAGTTGTACGCCTGATCCCTCGGCCAATAAAGCGAGATGAGCGCCACAACCCCAGAGTCAGCCACGACTGGACCTAACGGTCAGGGGTCCCTTTACCTTTACTTTTATTTTGCTGCATGCATTTATTTATCTTGCAACCATCTGCCCCACCTGATCTACCCCAGGCAGCAGGCAAATCTGATAAGGAACAGTATTCACAGGCAAGTAACTTCCCCCAAATTAAACCCAACCCACGGATGCTGCTGCTATTAAATTATTTCGTAAAAACTGTACACTGTATGATTGTAAAAAGAAAAGAAAAAACAAAACCCCTCAAGGTGGTTTACGAAAAGGTAAAGGAAGAAAATCGAGAAAAGAATCACAACAATAGTTTAGAACAACCCCAAAAAGGTTAAAATACTAAATCCACCTCGCTTGGATTTAAGGAGCGCGGTTTCAACCAGCCCAGCTTGAAATGGTGCGATTTGGATGTACGTCAGATGCGATTGCGCTGGATCTCCTACCAGTGAGGAGTTCCTTGCAAGGTGACTAATTTTGCTGCAACAAAAAAACCCAAACGAAACATGAGTCTTGCAGCCCCTGAAATCCTTTACAAATATAAATTGTGGCCCACAGTCTGCTGAATCAGATGCATGAAGTGTTTCTCTTCAGTTGTGGGGCTCAAAGTGGACTGTTCCCAGCTAAACAGATATGCCCCGTAATCCGGTGGCTTCACCTCGCCGTTTTCCTTTCAGGTTCATTTGTCCCAAGACGACCTTTAAGGCCACTTGCGGATGGGAGAGGGAAGGAGCTCCCTGACCTCTCTTGCACCCAAGTCACCTTCACTGGGAACGGTTTCCCGGGATCCCCTTCATTTTGAAAACCAGGTCACGGCAAACAAGTTATTGTCCACAGGCCATAAATCGACTCCCGCTTTTGCAGCAAGCTCTTTTTGCCCCGGTTTCTGCAATTAATTCGCCACGGCCTCCGGGGGTAAAATATGGATTCGGAGGTTTGATGTTGGGGGGGGGTTGTGCCTGTTGACCCACATCCACTCCCCGTCTCTCCCCTTTTGCAGGAGCTTCCTCTGTCTCCGATCTTCCGGCTGCCCTCTTTTCCTTGACGTTGTTGTGCCTGGTGATCCAGTTTCTCTGCAGGCTCCGCGAAGGAAGCCTCTGCTCCTCCTCTTTGACTCTGGATTGGGCCCCCCTCTGCCACCCCAAACAAGAAGTGCTCCAGGACCTCTTGGGAAGGACATTTCCCCATCCTGCCAACGGCCCAAACGTTCTTTCTTGACCCCTCCGTTTTCTCCAGCAGAAATTGGTGCTGTGCTTGAGTTAGGGGGGAGGAGAGGGAGAAAGGGGGTGACCTTCCTGCCATTTGATGGGGGTCTTTCCTGAAGAAGCCTCGCCTTCCTCCTGCCATCAGCGCAGACCCTGCCTTCTCTTGTTTTCTCTCTGCCTGGGACTGTTCTTCCTTCCTTTTCTCGATGAGCTGCATGCTTATGTCAAGACGGTACAATGATCACCTTGGGGGGGCTCTTTGCAGCCAGTTGGGGGCCAGAGAGTGGGCAGAAGGGTCCCTGTTGTGTTCTTCGTTGCAGAAAAGGAAGCCCTCTGAAGAAGGCCCAGCTGCTGCAGCTCCAGAAACCTCTTGGACGGCGGCTGTTAGCTCAAATATCATCCTCAGGACACCTCCCAAAGCAGCCAGTCACTGACAGCGCCCCCCCCCGAAACATTTTGCTCTCATCACGTTGGCAGGAACCCAAGCTCTGTGTGTAGGTGGCGTGCATGTGTGTGTTGTGGATCTGCAAAGAAGCTCAGGAAAAAGAACCACAGAATGCACAACTCTGCGAGACAAAACAGGGAGCCAGCGAGGCTGCCGTCAGTCGTCTTCCTCTGTTTTTGTTCCTTGAAAAAGTATCGGGGTGGAGAATCTCAGGGTGGCAGACGGAGGATCTTACTTGTGCCAAATGAATCAGTTTAGGGGACCACTAAGGACTCCGGCCTGCAATATCTGATTTTGAACCTCTCCCACTGGTTTCGCGGCTGCTGAAACTCAGAAGGCAGAGGGTTCTTCTTCCCTGGGGGTTTCTCAGCAGAGGTTGGAGGGCCATCTGTCGGGGATCCTTGTGCCGCAAGTCCTGACCCTCGGGGGATCCCTTCCAACTCTCCAATTCCATGAAACAACTGAGCCACGTCCCTCTCATCCCAGAGGCAACTGTGAGACTGATTTCTCCCCAACGCGAGAGGGATGAGCAGAGAGAGAAAGAGAAACAGAAGAGGCAGAAGGGAGCGTTATTTTACGACAGTCCCCATCGTCTATTTTTGTAATTATCAAAAGTTTCGGAAGAAAAAGAGCCCTGGCCTCTGGGCCCCACCTTCCCTCTTCCTTGTTGGCGGGGGATGTCTCCCCAAATCTGCAGTTGAAAGCCTGCTGCAGTGCCCCTTTTCCCGGGGGGTTCTCTGGATTTCTCTGGAAAAGGTTGGATCAGGCAGACGGCACTCATCTCGCCTGCAAAAAACCATTTTAGCCAAAGGTGTTTGTTCTTCTGTCGGTGGGGTGAGTCTTCCTGGGGGTTCCCCCACTAAGCCTCGAGGTTGCTTGTTCCTGTGAGAAGTATCCCATTTTATCTGCCCCAAAATGACATCATGGCAGTGTTATTGAAAAAAATCTGGGGTGAGAGACTACTCAAGAGCCTAGCTCATCGGGGTGCAAGTTCCCCGTGGGTCTATGCGCTTAGTAAAAGAAGGAAGTTCCAGCCGAGTAATTTGGAGCAAAACGGCAGTCAGTAGACCATGATCTTTATTGTTGCACAACAGGTCCCCCCAGGAGTAAGAACCCTGAGCATGGGGCAACCTTTTAAACCTTCCCTCTTTCCCCCAGAATACACTTTGAGAGGCATCACTGATACATCATCACTACATCACTGGCATGTCGCAAATGGGGAGGGGTACACAAGGGTTACACCAGTTCAACATGAGGTCACTTTATCAGACCCCTTTACCAACACCTCTTAAGTCCCCATCACCAGAAGAACAATAAAACTCTTGACATCTCCTTGCCCTCAGGACTGGTCTGGAGATGGGCTTTCAGAACACCTGACTTGCTCAACTGCCTCTGCACATGTCTCTTGTTGCCCCTTGGTCACCCCCTGGGTGGGGGGCCGTGTCTGTGCTCTCACGCTTGGGGAATAAATTCACCTTTCTTTAAGGGTTAAAATGGTGTGGGAATGAGGACAGTCGGTTAAAGTATGGATTTTCCACGAATTTATGAAGCTAGGTATCTTCCCTGAGCTGTCAAGTCGAAACAGCAGGCAGTTGCGATGGCCTCAAAACCACCACGTTTCAGAGCAGGTGGTCAATCTGCTAGCGGACCTCTGGGTGCCTCGCAAGGATTTCTGACTCCTGGTGGTTTTGCCAGAGCAAAGCAACAAAAGGCTAAGTTTATACATCTGAACTGTGGGGGAAGGAGGAGGAGGAGGAAAATCTGGGGAGGCTGGGAATGCAGAAGGGCCATGAGCTGCGTCTGGTTCTGGTACTCGGAATAAATCCCTTGGCTCTGAATTCTTTATGGCTTAAGTGTGTTTCTTTTTCACCTGGTGTAGTGGTTAGAGCGCTTGACTAGGGCTTGGGGGAGACCAGTCACTCACCCTGCGCCTGAGCTTCCTTGCAGGGTTGCTGTGCGGCTAAGAGCGGCAGCAGTGAAGTGTCTAAGGCACCTTGACTTCCTTGGAAGAAGCAGGCGGGATATTGTAATAAATGAAAATCTGCCTTTATTCCCCGCTGGGGGACACAAGAGCCCATATAGAGTTCTTACGTAGGTTCTCCATCGGTCAGAGAGAATAACAGAGGCCAACCAGAGAATATTGAGAAGCAAAGCAGCTTGTAAGCCTGATCTTTATTGAACTGTTGCAACAGGGTGCTCCCTGCCCCCACAGGAGGAGGGAGGGACCCAGAACCCAGGTGTGCCCCCCCCCTTATATAGATATTTTAAATTGCCCGCCTTGGAGTCCAAGACCACCCCCAGATACATCATACCTACATCAAAGAAAGGGTCTACAGCAGAAATCTGAGTGCGTTGTTTATCTCCTGTCTGGCAGGTGACCTGTTAATGCTCACTTGATTGGATACCCTGGGGACCCTGGCCAGTCTTTTGTAATGATAACTACTTAGTTCCTGAGCCAGGTCACAGGCTCACCCTATTCATACCCAGACAGACATACCCTTAAGACAGGATTTGTGAAGGAAAAGACAGTGGGGAGGCTTTTCCATTTTCCTTTGACCTTGCAGAGAAAACTTTTGGTCAGTTTGGTAGCCAAAATGGCTCCAGGGCTGCCCTCCTGTGCTGCCTCAGACATGTGGTCCACACATCTACGTACGTGTTTGCCTGGCAAATCCATTAACATTTATTAAATATATATATATAAGACCTTAATTTTTTTATTTCAATATAAAGCTGAGATTCCTGCATTGCAGCGGGTTGGACTGGATGACCCTTGGGGTCCCTCAAACTCCATGATTCTGTGATAAATGCAATCAATCAATAGTGGTGGGATTTAGGTGCAATCCACCCATCCATCAAAAAAGGCAAGATACGAATGCAATCAATCAATTGAAAATGGAGGCATTAAAATGCAGTCAATGCAAGCCAGCAGGCGCAGCCAGATCCCTCAGGCCTGAAGCCCCTCCTGGTTCCAGAGCAGCTGTCCTGGGCGATCTTGTATCTCGACAGTCTTTCAGGAAGCGACAGGATCCTGGCGTGCCACTCAGCCAGCGGGAGAATCTACCCAGAAACCGCCGCTTTATTTTCTGTCTGCTCGGGTTTATTTTTAGCTCTGTTCCCATGCCGAGCCCAGCAGGGCCGCGGGGCGGGCAGCAAGCTCACTCAGCCCCCGGCAGGACGGGGATTTTGACAGGCCTCCGCCGTGGCTGCTTGGGCTTCCTTGCTGGTTCTCCAGTCTTGGGGGCAGATGTTTGGGCTGGGGGGGCTTTTGAGGGGTGGGGGCGTTGCAGAAAGAGAAAGGGGTCACGGATGGGGCAGCCTGGCAGAGCCAGATGGAGCAAGGGTGAGCCGATTCGTTCAAAAGACATTTTGTGGCGTCGGAGAGTTGGAAGGGACCCTGAGGGTCATCCAGTCCAACCCCCGGGAGCCACAGATTCGTGAAAACTCTTTTGACGGGGAGAAATGTAATTTCATTTCAAAAAGAAGATAAAACCTGTTAACGGAGAAATCTGAGGGCTCCCTTAGACAAAAACAAGGACATCAGCCAGGAATACCAGAGCAAAACAGCAGCCAGGAGGCCTGGTCTTGATGGAAGACTGGACAGGACTCCCACCTGCCACCAGGTGGAACAAGATGGGAGCCCCGAACAAAAGAGAACCCAAACTTTTATTACCTGCTCATCCCCATGTCACCCCCCCCCCAAACTACATCACTCATACATCACGATTACATCATGAAAGGGGAGGTCTGGTGGCCGTAATCTGAGCATCCTGGACCCTGCCCCCTGGTTCTCCTTGCCCTCCACCAAACACCCAGCAAGTGGAACAAAAGAGATCTTTACATTTCTCTCTTTCCCAGCCATGTTAACCACACCCTTTTGTCTTCATCTGGGTTTGTTATTTCTGGACTGGCTACCTGTCTGGCACTCAGGTATCAGGATGCCAGGGATTATCACTCAGGCAGAGGGGCTGCTGAGTAGCTGAGCTCACAGGTCTAGATGAATTTCTGAAGTTTTTCCAGTGAGCCAGTACAGAGATACATTGATCAGGGAATTCTTACATTTGGTGTTCTGCAGCAGAGGCCCTTTGAATAGATAGGAAGAAACTGTGATGAAGTGTTTTGTGGGGACAAGTCACAAAAGCCACAAAAGTGATTGTGCTGATTTTGGTAATGGGCTGCATGTGCAGGATATCTGCTGGAGGGGCAACCCCCCCCCCAACCTATACATAAATTCCTGCAACAAACCCCAAAATGACGCCGTTCAGTGTTTTGGCACTTCATGCCAACGCCGCTTAGAGACTTCTGAATTCATTGTCCAGAACAATCCTGGCTGGGCAAGAACAGGCATCTTTGGAAATAATTAGGAAGAAAATGCAGGTGGTCACCTCCGAACTTCCCCCACCCTGGGGATGTTTAAAGAGAGGAAAGGGAAACCGGATGCTTAAGGAAGGCACCTCCTGGGTGGGAATATTGCTGAGGCCACAGCATGCCCTGTAAGATTGACTGGGGGCCAGGAAATTCCTCGGTTTGGAGGGACAGGAGACTTTGCTGCCCCTCTGCTATATTTCCTCATCCTTTTTATCTTTTTCAAAAAGAAGAATAATACTTTATTTAGAATTCAACAATAACAAAGGGAAAAAACCCACAGTAATTGTTACATCAATTCATCACAATCAACTGATTTTAACAATACATAAATAGTAATAGAAAAATTACACAACATCACTTTTAACTTACTGAAGTTTTCATATTACACTTTTTTATCTCTTTCTTAACAAATCAAAAGAAAAAGACCAAGAAAGGAGGCACAAAAGAGAAAAGGAAGAAGAAAAGAGGGGAGGAGAAAGAAGGGGAAAAACACACAAAATAAACACATTTGGCTATATAAATACCCTATATTTTCTCATCTAGGGCATGTTCCGGGTGGAGTCGCTGCTGCTGCTGCTGTTTCCCAGCCAATGCTGCCACCTAGAGGCCAGCAAAAGGGGCTGCAGCCTCCTTGGCCCAGTTGAGCCGCAGTGCTCCTCTCTGGCCACTCTTGCAGGGGGCGCTGTAGAGCCACAAACAACCAAGCCTTCCCCTCCTGCAGCCTGGATAGCAGAGAGAGAGACTGACTCTGGCCCAGGCCAGACTGGCCATTCCGGATCCAGGTCTTCCTTTCCCCCCAACGCGTCTCAGGAGTGCAGGAAGGCTGCTTTATACTGAGCTCTGTTGCCTCACCTAGCCCAGTGCTGCCCACACGGACCGGCAGCAGTTCTCCAGGGTTGCAGGCAGGGGGCATTCTCGGACCTGCCTGGAGTTGCTGCCAGCGGGGATTGAAGCTGGGACCTTCTGCATGCCCAGCAGGTGCTCTGTCCCCGAGTTATGGCTCTTCCTGTTTATGTCAGCCTAATAATAATAATAATAATAATAATAATAATAATAATTTTTATTTATACCCTGCCCTCCCCAGCCAAGACCGGGCTCAGGGTGGCTAACACCAGATATAAAACGACTGAAATACAACTTAAAAAACAAGATTAAACGACAACATTAAAATGCAGCCTCATTTCAGCAGAAACTCAAAAACTTTTTGGGGGATGAAAACGTCAAGGCTTCACCAAGGCTAACTATCCAGACTGGTCCTACGTGGGCCAGAAAGCATGATTATGCAGAAGCATGAGGACTAGCGCCTTTGTTTTTTAGGGGGACAGAGGAAGTTGCCTCCTCGTCAGCCAGACCTCTGCCTGGAAGTGTGCCTTCAGGGACTGGACCTTCTGCGCACCAGATTCTGCTGCAAAGAAAAAAAGACGGAGCTGCATTTCCTAATTACGCCTTGCTTCGTTACATACGCCTCAACAGTACCCGTTTCCCAGACAACCGTGTTTTATGGTAAACCACCCTCTTTCCCTCTTTGTTTTGTTTCCTTCTGGGCTTTTGGGAAAATGCCTTGGTAAAAACAAAATTGGTTAGGGGGAGTTGCTGGAGAGAGTTGTTGAGCCTTCAGGGTCCCGCTCCCTCCTCTCTGAGTAGGGCATCAACACAGGCTCAGGTCGTGAACTGGTCATAATTTTGAAGTAGGGTGGAGGGCGAAATGATCTGTTTGTGAAAAATATGGACCACTATTTCGTTAAAGCCGCTCCCAACAAAAATGCATGGAACCATACAGTTACAAACGGGCGTCAATTAAACATAGAAGGGTGTCTTAATTGCTTGCAGAGGCCTGGCAGAATAGGAAAATTTTTCACAAGCATTTAAAAGTTAAAGGTAAAGGGACCCCTGACCATTAGGTCCAGTCGTGGCCAACTCTGGGGTTGCGGCGCTCATCTCGCTTTATTGGCGGACCAGCCATGTACAGCTTCCGGGTCATGTGGCCAGCAGGACTAAGCTGCTTCTGGCGAACCAGAGCAGCGCACGGAAACGCCGTTTACCTTCCCACCGGAGTGGTACCTATTTATCTACTTGCACCTTGACGTGCTTTTGAACTGCTAGGTGGGCAGGAGTGGGGACCAAGGGAGCTCACCCAGTCGCAGGGATTTGAACTGCCAACCTTCTGATCGGCAAGTCCTGGGCTCTGTGGTTTAACCCACAGCGCCACCTGCATCCCTGTTTAAAAGTTAGAAGGCGCCTATTGAATCTCCAGTTGCAGAGAGTTCCGCAGGGCTGGGCCAATGACTCTCAAGGCTCAGTTCCTTGTTGCTTTCAAATGAGCCTCACGGATTCATGGAATGACCAAAATTTTCTCTTTTACAGGTTCTTAGTTGTGATGGAACTGCGATATAAGGGTTCAGACTGTCCCCACAGTACCCTGGACCTAAGATGCTCAGGGTTTTGTGAATTAACGTCTCTTGAGAATGGATTTCCTTGCAAAGCGTTAGGCAAAAAAAGTCCTTACAACTTTCTACAGACCTTTGGTGGTTTTGATTTCATTTTAGTGACACAGCTCCCGGAAGCCAGGGGAGAGAAGAAAACTAAATGAAAAATTGTTACGTATCTGTTTCATGTAATTTAGACACCACTCTTGACTGTAAAACAACAAAAACCCTCAAAGCGGTTTACAAACAATTAAATTCTCAGTAAAACAACTCCTTAAAAACATTCAAAAAATTAAAACCAACAACAGATTAGAACACAAGCCAACATTCTACATATCTGGACTAAACAATAATGTTTTTAGCGGGTGCCGAAAAGAGTCCAGTTGAAAGCGTCTGCTTGGTGTCAAGAGGCGGGGAGTTCCAAAGTTTAGCTGCTGCCACACTAAGCAATTGAGTTCTCACAAATTCAGAACAGGTATGATGTGGCCCTGGGAGCAGTGCCAGTTCTGCCCATTGAAGCAGTCATGGATGGCGTAATAATGGCACAAGCTTATGCATGTCTACTCAGAAGTAAGCCCTACTATGTCCAATCATGGCGCTTCCTCCCAGATAAAGCCTGTATATAGGGCCACAGCGCAAGGGGGCCGGTCTCTGAAACAGCCACAGATTCCACACTCCCCAGTCTTGTCCCTATGTGCTGAGAAGCAAGTGGCGTGGAGTTCCATAGGGCCACCTCCCTGGAAATGGTGCCCAGCACTGTAGCTTATTACAGCATGATTCTGGAAAGGGTGGAAGAAGAACAGGTAGCTCAGGGACAGTGCCTCTGCCTGAAATCCCAGAGAGCCGTTGCTGCCAGTCCGTGTGGGCCCAGGGCCTGACTCTGCATAAGGCATCTCCCTCTGCTCCAAGCATCAGCTGCAGGACGGACCATCAACTTTGACCGTGATTCTGTTCCTTTTTGCTGGAAATAATAATAATAAATTTTATTTATATCCTGCCCTCCCCAGCCAAAGCCGGGGTAAAAGTGTGCTTTTGGGGGGTACCCAAAATTTATTTGGGAGGAGGCGTGTGCTTGCACACTGCCCAGTAATCTGTTGAGTGTTTGATTTAGCTGGGGTCAGGCTGGATGACCCTCAGGGGTCCCTTTCACCTCTACCATTCTATGATTCTGTGACTGAGGTCTCAAAAAGATTCTCTGTGCTTGGGGCCTTGGCTTCCTGCATTGCAGGGGGTTGGACTTGATGGCCCTCGGGGTCCCCCCCCAAAAAAACTACAGTTCTGTGTCCCTTTCCTTCCAGCTGTCTTGTAGGGTAGCCTTGAGGGTGAAACTGGCAGAGCGAGGGGTCCTGTTTAGCTGGGAGAAAGAAGCCCCGCTGAGCTCAAATGCTGCCGACTCCCGGAAGACGGGAAATAATGTTTGGAGACTTTGGGGAGGGGGGAAGCAGCGGCAAACTTGGCCCTCGCCTTTTCTGAGGAATCGTTTCCGTGTGGACGTTAATTCACGTAGTCCCTTTCGTAATCGGCTTCTTGAAAGTGGACGACTTCGTAGTCCACGTCTGTCCGTTCCTTTGAGACAGTATATTTTGCGGATTTGGCTTTCTTGAAGTGATGATAATAGAGGAAGAAGAGGGGGACGGGCGTGAGGATGATTTTGGCAGCCCAGTAGCAGAGCACCACGAAAAGTCCTGCGGAAGAGAGAGGGAGAGAGAGAATTGTTTCATGTTTGTTTATTGGGAAATCACATAAACTTATTTAGCCCAAAACCACAAATTCTCCCAAGTGCTGTGCAAAGAGAGGAGGCAAAGGATCGGCTTAAAACCACCAACTCGTCTGGAAAAAAATATAAAGGCGTGGGAAGAAGCCTGCAGGATCAGACCCATCCAGCCCAGCATCCTAATCTCTCAGGGACCGGATACTCCTAAGGACCTAGGAATCTGGATAGACTGCTCCTGCACCTGGAGTTTCCACAAGAACACAGGAAGAGCCTGGCTGCTGCCGGATCAGGCCGAAGGGGGCCCATCCAGTCCAGCCTCCTCACCAGGTGCCCCAAAGGAAAGCTTACTAGTAGGATCTGAGCACAAGAGCAACTCTCTCCAGCAACTGGCATTCAGAAACACTGCTGCCTCCAGTTGTGGCCAGGAGCCCTCCATAGCCCTCTCCTCCTCCATGAATTTGCCCAGTCCTCTTTTAAATCCACCCAAGTCGGTGGCCATTGCTGCCTCCTGTCCGGTGGGAGGGAGTTCCATAGGTTAACTCTGTGCTGCTGTGAGGAAAGACTTTCTTTTATCCTAAGGAGCTAAGCAGTTGGCTCCTTACCTCTCTCACCCTGACCTCGCCACTGTGATCCACGCGACAGTCACCTCCAGGCTTGATTATTGTAACTCGGTCTACACGGGGCTGCCCTTGAAACTGACCCAGAAACTCCAGCGGGTGCAGAATGCTGCGGCAAGACTCCTTACGGGGTCCTTGCCATGGGATCACATTCACCCAGTGCTATACCAGCTGCACTGGCTCCCGGTGGAGTACAGGATCAGGTTTAAGGTGCTGGTTTTAACCTTTAAAGCCTTATACGGCCTAGGACCCTTGTACCTACGGGACCGCCTCTCCTGGTATGTCCCACGGAGGAACTTATGGTCTTCAAATAAAAACATCTTGGAGGTCCTGAGCCACAGGGAGGTTAGGCTGGCTTCAACTAGAGCCAGGGCTTTTTCGGCCGTGGCCCCGATCTGGTGGAACGCTCTGTCCCAAGAGACTAGGGCCCTGCAGGACTTGACATCTTTCCGCAGGGCCTGCAAGACGGAGCTGTTCCACCAGGCCTTTGGCCAGGGCACAGCCTGACTCCCTCCACTGGCGATCCTCAGATAACTCTAGCCCAATGGTTGCCATTAATTTGACTCTGAATTAATTTTAGAATGAATTGATTTTAGAAATCTGTGTTACTTTTATTGTTGTTAGCTGCTCTGAGCCCGGCTTCGGCTGGGGAGGGCGGGATATAAATAAATTATTATTATTATTATTATTATTATTATTATTATTATTATTTTATTATCCATCCTGAATCTGCCAATGGACAACCTCCTTGGATGCCCATGAATTCTAGTTTTAGGAGAGAAGGAGCAAACCTTTCCTCTCTCTGCTTTCTCCATGCCAGGCATTATTTTAGGAACTTCTGCTGTGTCCCTTGCATCATAGGGGGTTGGTCTAGATGACCCTCGGGGTCCCCTCCCAACTCTCCAGTTCTTTGATTCTGCGATTCCCTGAAGGCATTTACCTGAAGCCTTGACCCCACAGTCTTCGTAGGGAGAGATGTCCCATGTCACCTGGACCCCAAGAGCCTTTGCGCCGCATGAGTAGGACTGATGCGCATCTGTGGGGCGCATGACGAGGTCGAGTCGGCTGCTTTGGGAAAGTGGGGCCCCCGTCGCCGTGAGAGTCCAGTTGTAGGTCACGTTGGCCATCTTCCCGGCCCCCAACTCGCAGAACAAAGTGCAGGAGCTGATCTCCCACCACGTTTTGGTGATGTTGATGCCTGCAGAGGGGCAGGGAAAGGTGGGGGTGGGTGGGAGATGGACAAGAATTGGGGGGCAGAGAAAGAAGCACGTCATTCTATTCCCTCCCCAACCCTTTATGGGTCTGAATCTGGCCATAGTGAGCCCACCGTGTGATGAAGCAGCAAAAAAGGCTAAGGCTATTCTAGGCTGCATCAACAGACGTCTAGTGCCCAGATCAAGGGAAGTCACAGTCCTGCTTTATTCTGCCTTGGTCAGACCCCACCTGGAATACTGCGTCCAGTTCTGGGCTCCTCAGTTTGAGGAGGATATCGAAAAGCTGTAAGCATGTGCAGAGGAGGGTGACTGAGATGGTCAAGGGTCTGGAAACGAAGCCTTATGAGGAATGGTTGAGAATAATAATAATAATAATAATAATAATTTATTATTTATACCCCAGCCACTCTGGGCGGCTTCCACCAGAATATTAAAACACAATAGTCTATTAAACATTAAAAACTTCCCTGAACAGGACTGCCTTCAGATGTCTTCTACAAGTCTGGTAGTTGTTTATCTCTTTGACATCTGATGGGAGGGCGTTCCACAGGGCGGGCGCCACCACCGAGAAGGCCCTCTGCCTGGTTCCCTGTAACCTCACTTCTCACAGGGAGGGATCCGCCAGAAGGCCTTCTGATCTGGACCTCAGTGTCTGGGCTGGACAATGGGGGTGGAGATGCTCCTTCAGGTATACTGGACTGAGGCCGTTTAGGGCTTTAAAGGTCAGCACCAACACTTTCAGTTGCGCTCGGAAACATACTGGGAGCCAGTGAAGATCTTTCAGGACTGGTGTTATGTGGTCTCGGTGGCCGCTCCCAGTCCCCAGTCCAGCTGCCACATTCTGGATTAGTTGTAGTTTCCGGGTCACCTTCAAAGGTAGCCCCACGTAGAGCGCATTGCAGTAGTCCAAATGGGAGATAACCAGAGCATGCACCACTCTGGTGAGAGTCCGCGGGCAGGTAGGGTCTCATCCTGTGTACCAGGTGGAGGTGATAAACAGCTGCCCTGGACACAGAATGGACCTGCGCCTCCATGGACGGCTGTGAGTCCAGAATGACTCCCAGGCTGCGCATCTGGTCCTTCAGGGGCACTGTGACCCCACTCAGGACCAGGGAGTCCCCCACACCTGCCCACCTCCTGTCCCCCAGAAACAGTACTTCTGTCTTGTCAGGATTCAACCTCAATCTGTTAGCCGCCATCCATCCTCCAACCGCCTCCAGACACTCAGACAGGACCTTCACCGCCTTCACTGGTTCTGATTTGAAAGAGAGGTAGAGCTGGATGGCTTTAAAAGAATAATGGGGGCATTCATGGAGGGGGAGAGGGCTCTGTTCTGCCTCTGCAGTTGGAGGAAGCAAGGCTCCCAAATTCCCCCTTCTGGAAACCGCAGGAGGGGAGAGCTGCTCTTTCACTTGGATCCTGCACGATGGTTTCCCTTTGAGGCAACTGGCTGGCCACTGTGAAGACAGGAGGCTGCACCAGGTGAACCACGGCCTTGATGTTCTGGCAAATAAAGAGTTTTGCTTCCTCTGGTTAACCCCGCTGGACCTCCAGTTATTTCCAGACCCTGGGATCAATGGAGTACTGGTTATTCCTCCTGGCAAACTGCCTGGTGCGCGCTGGATCACCAGTCCTTCCTCGCTCCCAGAATCTGGGTAACCAAATGTCCCTTCGTGGTCGCCATCTGTTGTAAACAAAAATTGCCCTTTTCCCTTATGGGGTATCCAAGAGCCCATATAGAGTCCTTACATAGGTTCCCTATTGGTAGGAGAAAATAACAGAGGCCAAGCAGAGAATATTGAGAAGCAAAGCAGCTAGTAAGCTTGATCTTTATTGATCTGTTGCAACAGGGTGCTCCCCTCACACGCAGAAAAGGAGGAGGACCCAGAACAATGGCACGCAAGGCCGTATAAAGACTTTTGAAATTGCCACCCTGTAGATCAAGACCACCCCCAAAAACATCATACATACATCACAGAAGGTGTGTAACCTAAGACCACCCCTCAGATACATCACACCTACATCACAGAAAAGGCAGTCTTAAAACAGAAATTTGAATGTTGTTTATCTCCTGTCTGGCAGGTTACCTGTTGAATGGTCACTTGATTGGATACCCTGGGGAGCCTGGCCAGTCTTTTGTAATGAATAACTACTTAGTTCCTGGGCCAGGTCACAGGCTCACACCCTATTCAAACACAGGCACACCCTTAAGACAGGATTTGTGAAGGAAAAGACAATGGGAGGTTTCCCACTTTGACCTTGCAGAGAAAACATTGGCTCGGTTTAGGAATCAAAATGGTTCCAGGTCGGCCTTCCTGTGCTGATCTATGTGTGTGTTTGGTTGGTACATTTATGAACATTTATTATATATCTAAGACCATAAAATTCCTATCACAATAGGAATCAAGATCCTGGAAGTTTGACTCAGCTCGTCTTCGTGGAAGCGATCTGAGTCTCTGAGAGAAGCAAGCTGGTTTCTTATCAACAGAGATGCAGTTGAGCCCCTCGCAGGAAACCAGTCAGCAGCAGGGTAGGAAAGCCTCTCATCACGCCCTGGACTCTGCGATCTTGTTTAAAGATGGTTTTGCTCACACACACGCAGGAATCACACTGCAGGCGGTTCCCCTTTCCTGTTATCTTTCTACGCGAATCATGCAACTGTTTCGGCTAATTGCTTCTCTGAATTGGTATTATTTCCTGCAGATCACAGGGATATCTTTTTTTGGGAGGGGTGAGGGCTGCTGCTGGTCCTGGATTCATCTGCAGGATTTTTTCGGGGGGGGGAGGAAAAATTGAGCACTGGGAAGGGGGAAGCAGTGTACTTCCTCACTCCCCCAAATAATAGTACATGCACATTTTACTCGTGAGAAGAGCCTGCTGGATCAGGCCAGTCGCCGACCTAGTGCAGCCTCCTGCCATCACAGTGGCCAAATGTCCCTAGGAACCCAGGAACCCAGATAGACTGCCTCTGAACCTTGAGGTTCCATAAGAACTAGATCAGGCCAAAGGGGGCCCTCAAGCCCAGCCTCCTCTTCTAACAGATGCCTCTTTTAGGAAACCTGCAAGTGGCACCTGGGCACAAGAGCCCTCGCCCCTCCTGCCATCTCCAGCACCTGGTGTTCAGAAGCATCGCTGCCTCCAACTGTGGGGCAGAGCCTAGCCATTTTGGCTAGTAGCCGTCGATAGCCCTTTCCTTCTCCATGAATTTGCCCAATCCTCTTTTTAAAGCCACCCAGTTTGGTAGCCATCACTGCCTCCTGCGGAAGGGAGTTCTACAGTTTCAACTACCATATTTTTCACTCCATAAGACGCACTTTTTTCCTCCTAAAAAGTAAGGGAAATGTCTGTGTGTCTTACGGGGCGAAGGCGTGGTCCCTGGAGCCGAATTGCCCAGGGGAGAAAAGCAGATCATGCTTTTTTTTTAGAAAGAGGGAAGGGAGTGTTGAAACAAGCCGCTGATTGGCAAGAGATCGGGGAGGGAGATAAGGGACGCTAGAGATAAAGGAGGCTGCCTGGGAGGGGGGAGGTAAAAGCCCATGGATTTTTGCATTGGGTCACCCCAAATTCACCATCAGATCACATAGCATGACCATGGCTACAGCCTGTACCGAAAAATCACGCACCCACTGTTTTGTGGGGCCACAATGGTGCAAAAACGTGGTTACAAAGCACGGATCCACATGGATCCTCAGGATTTTTGCATTCGGCTACCCCAAACTCACTGTCAAATCACATGTCTGTGGAAACAGCATGAACCACAAAAATCATACATCCACTGTTTCATTCAGAATATTTTCCTCCTCTAAAAACTAGGTGCGTCTTATGGTCAGGTGCGCCTTATGGAGCGAAAAATACGGTATGTGCTGCATGAAGAACTTTATTTTGCCAGTCCCGAATCAAGTGGCTGTCTCTGTAGCCCAATATACAGACCCAACATCCTCGATGATGCCCCTTATTTTTCCAGCCCATGAGCTGAATCTCTCTAACACCAACTTTTCTCTAAACTATTCCTCCTGGCAACATTTCCCTGAAGATCTACTGGTGCCACAAATAGCAACTCCCATTCGGAGTGACCCCCCCCCCAATGCAGGGGGTTTGGACCCTTGGGATTCCTACCCAACGCTACATTTCTACGATCCTACGGTTCCCAAGGATGCCTTGCTGTGCCCTCAGAACTTACGAAATATGAACAGTGTGTAATTTTTTAAGATGGTCTCGCGGGGGACGACTCCCATCACGACTTCATAGGGTCCACCGTCTGCCAGGGTCAAGTTGCGTATTTGCCAGACTTTCTTCTCCCTGGAGAAGTTCACTCTCCCAGAATACTCGGCGTCGATGACAAACAAGGGGTGCTGGGGGGTCCACAGAGCCAGTGCCTTCTTCCTCGACAAAGACTTCCAGTTCAAGAAGAGCGTGGAGATGTTCTGGGTAGGAATCTCCAGGGGCAACGTGACGGACTCCCCAAAACCTTCGACCAAGTTCACCCATCCTGTGTCATCCAGCCCTGGGGCAACAAACCAAGAAGGGGCAAGATCAGTGCTGGATTTACGTATAAGCTAAACAAGCTGTAGCTTAGGGCCCCACTCTCTTGGGGGCCCCAAAAAAATTTAAAGGAAGAAAAACCTGAATGTACATTTCCAAAATACAGTGGTACCTCGGGTTAAGAACTTTATTCATTCCAGAGGTCTGTTCTTAACCTGGAACTGTTCTTAACCTGAAGCACCACTTTAGCTAATGGGGCCTCCTGCTGCCGCCGCGCCACCAGACACAATTTCTGTTCTCATCCTGAAGCAAAGTTCTTAACCCAAGGTACTATTTCTGGGTTAGTGGAGTCTGTAACCTGAAGCGTATGTAACCTGAAGCGTCTGTAACCCGAGGTACCACTGTATAGGATAAAAAACAAATACAGTGGTACCTCGGGTTGCATACACTTCAGGTTACAGACTCTGCTAACCCAGAAATATTACCTTGGGTTAAGAACTTTGCTTCAGGATGAGAACAGAAATCGTGCGGTGGCGGCAGGAGGCCCCATTAGCAAAAGTGGTGCTTCAGGTTAAGAACAGTTTCAGGTTAAGAACGGACCTCCGGAACGAATTAAGTTCTTAACCCGAGGTACCACTGTAAAACAAAACCTACATACAGCAACAGTGTTTTGTGTTGTGTAGGCTCCTAGGATGTGAGTCATGGGCCCCGCCTGCTCGCCTGCTCCCTAAAATATCACTGCTTTGCTCCTTTCTATATATAGGGTGCCTACGTTCAGCATGGACTGGTTGCAGGGCAACATGTGCAAAGGGCTTGAGATACCTATTAGGTCCATAAATTACCATATAGCATATATTCAACACGAAAAACAGTGAAAATTCATTGTTGACAAAGGACAGCTGGACATATAAAGGGCCCCATTACCTTCAGTAGCTTAGGGCCTCATCAAACCTCAGTCCGGCCCTGGACAAGATGTTATTTCCCCCCAAAATCGCTGAGTGGTAAGAGATTTCAAGTGATTTTTTTGTACAAGAAAGGTCCCTTGCTACCCTCACCTGACAGAGCCAGCTTTAAAAAGAAACAGACTCCCCGCCACATTATGGAAAGGGTGGAATGAACAAATGACTCGGGGGAAGATGGATAAGCAGCCCCACAAGCAAATCCTTCTCAATGTTCACTGTTGAACAGCCTCCCAGAAAACAAATGGGGGGGGGGACCCTCAATAAAGGCAGGATGCCAACTAACCTCCAAGTGAGCAAATTAGGATGGATGCAAAATAGGAGCCCCCTTTCTCCACGCACCTTGCCTGCTTGTACCTGAACCCCAAAAAGTTCCCCAAGGGAAGAGGCAAGGGCAGCTCATATTTGTGCTGGAAATGTGAAAGGAAAGAGGGTACCTTTTATCATATGTGGTGGTCCTGTGGGGTGGTAAAAGCTTTCTGGGAAATGATATAAGAAAATTTGAAGAAAACTTTTGTTTAAAAGCCAGTGGCTTTTCTAAATGTATTAAAAAATTGTCCAGTAGCACCATAGAGACCAACTAAGTTGTGCTTGGTATAAGCTAAGTTTGTTCTTGGTATTTGCAAGCACACGAAAGCTTATACCAAGAACAAACTTAGTTGGGCTCTAAGAGGCTTTTCTGGTAGATATAAGAGGTGTAGTAGTAGTTTAGTCGTTTAGTTGTGTCCGCCTCTTCGTGACCCCCTGGACCAGAGCACGCCAGGCCCTCCTGTCTTCCACTGCCTCCCTCATGCTGGTAGCTTCTAGAACACTGTCCCACCATCTCGTCCTCCGTCATCCCCTTCTCCTTGTGCCCTCCATCTTTCCCAACATCAGGGTCTTTTCCAGGGAGTCTTCTCTTCTCCTGAGGTGGCCAAAGTACTGGAGCCTCAGCTTCAGGATCTGTCCTTCCAGTGAGCACTCAGGGTTGATTTCCTTCAGAATAGAGAGGTTTGATCTTCTTGCAGTCCATGGGACTCTCCAGAGTCTCCTCCAGCACCATAACTCAAAAGCATCAATTCTTCAGCGATCAGCCTTCTTTATGGTCCAGCTCTCACTTCCATACATCACGACTGGGAAAACCAGAGCTTTAACTATACGGACCTTTGTTGGCAAGGTGATGTCTCTGCTTTTTAAGATGCTGTCTAGGTTTGTCATTGATAATAGGTGATGAACTACTAAAAGAAAATAAAATACTATGTATGCAACGACTGCAGCGAGAATGCTCCTAGCCCAGAGATGGAAAGAAGTACCGACCCGGGGAGCGTGGCTGACCAAACTGATGGAATAGGAATAGGCAGATATAGCAAGACTGATGGGAAAGTTCAGAAACCAGGAAGACCCACGTATTCTTAAAAGATTGGAATAACTTCTTAATATACGTAAAAGACCACTGTAGACAGTTGAAATCATTGGCAGAGATACACTGATACTTGTAAAGTGAAATGAACTTTGGTTACTATATATAATAGATGGATAACGGTAAAAGATGCAGGAAAAAAGAAAAAGGAGGGAAGGAAGTCTGAATGTTCGAAAGAACCTTTTTATTTTTATGTTTGGAATGGTTACAGTTATTGTGTATAACCTTAGGTAAGCTACTGCAATAAAAATATTTTGAGAGAGAGAAAGAAAGAAAGAAAGAAAGAAAGAGAGAGAGAGAGAGAGAGAAAGGCTAGGGTGTTGCATGATGGAGCAGAGAGAGAGAATTTAACTGAGAGTCTCCCAGATTTTACTCACTTGCAGCTTGGAAGGTGCAGAGGAGGAGGAGGAAGACCACGAGGGGATCCATGCCAGCCTCTCTGGAGAGATGATGATTGATGTGCGAGGAGCCTGGGAAGCTCAGAGGGGCAGCCGCCTCTCCCTCCCCTTTCTGGCCCAAAGCAAGGGGGGAGTGGCTTCCTCCTGCCCGCCTTCTTGAAGGTCAGGCCAAGTGTTATGTACTGAGTTGAATAGGATCCAAAAGGCAGCAGTCTGATTGGTCCTAGAACAATAGGATTCAGAATGCAGCAGTATGATTGGTTGGCAGGAACCACCCAATCATGCTCCAGATATAAGTGAATCCACAACCTGATTGGCTTACAGTAGAATTCCAGAATTAGCCAATCATGTGCAGCCCATTGTGTAAATAATGTATATAAAGCAGATACTTTGAGGGGACTTTCATTCATTCCTCCTCACCACTATGAGCTGAATAAAGAGCCTGAAATCACTTTGCGACTCTGAGTATATTTCACCAAGGAAGCCAGGGTGGCCCTTGGGGGCACGTGTCCCGCACGGCAGGGTTGCCAGTGGGCTCCGAACACCTTCCAGAAAGTGCAAGGGGACGTCCTTGCTGGTTCTGTGTAACGGAAGAATGAAGGATGAGAGGTTGCAGAAGATGAAGGAGCAGCAGCCGGCCTCGCCTGACGTCACGTCCTTAGGTGGGGCCCCTGGGTGCCCACAGGGCGTGGAGAGAGCTTTGGAGGCAGATCTAAATTCCTGGGCCATGGGGGGCAAGGTGTCTGTCAATGAGCAGCTTCTGAAGCACACTGGAAACACATTTCGCTCCTCAAAGAATCCCGGGAACTGTAGTTTAAGGGCGCTGGGAATTGTAGCTCTGTGAAGAGTAAGATTCAGGGCTTTTCATGCAAAGTGGCAGAGAAGCATAAAAAGGCTGATCCCGGCTATAATTTGCCAGAGACGTTTTTGCTGCCTGCAGAATCCGCACTCGGCTCTGCAGTCCTACCCAGCTGCCCACTCGGATGGGCCACTTTGGGTACAGGTGTTGAGCCGAGATGCCAGGCAAACGGTCAGCCTTGCGACGATAACGCCGGGCAGCTGGACGAAAGGCTTGTTTCCCCCCCAGAGTGCTGCCCGCCCCAGAGTGGAGTTTGTGAGTCAACGATGAGGCGACCACAAGCCATCAACTGTCAACCTTTCCTGGCAGAGAGATAAGGAGAGCTCTGGGTCAAGATAAGAGCAAGCGCCAATCTGCCTTGGCATCTCACCCAGGTGGCGCATGATTTAAACCCATCCCTTCGCTGGGGTGATTCTCCCCTTTCTGCACCACAAGAAACCCCCCCAAATCAAGATATGGGCCCGCTCTGCAAGCAGGGCGGCAAAGAATGCAAAGCAGCCACTGTCTCAGCTGATCAGGAGAAGATTATTAGAGGTGGAGGAGGGGGTATATCTGAAGGAGCGTCTCCACCCCCATCGTTCTGCCCGGACACTGAGGTCCAGCTCCGAGGGCCTTCTGGCAGTTCCCTCATTGCGAGAAGCCAAGTTACAGGGAACCAGGCAGAGGGCCTTCTCGGTGGTGGCGCCCGCCCTGTGGAACGCCCTCCCACCAGATGTCAAAGAGAACAACAACTACCAGACTTTTAGAAGACATCTGAAGGCGGCCCTGTTTAGGGAGGCTTTTAATGTTTGATGTAGTACAGTATTTTAATATCTTTTTGGGAAGCCACCCAGAGTGGCTGGAGAGGCCCAGCCAGCTGGGCGGGGTATAAATAATAAATTATTATTATTATTATTATTATTATTATTATTATTATTATTATTATATTAACCCCCTCCCTCTCGAGAATTAGATGTGATCATGGTGTATAGGTGGTATATCACCCCTGTAAAATTAGCTAAAATGTATAAAATAAGTAATAAATGTTGGAATTGTAAAGAAAAGGAGGGAACTTTTTATCATATGTGGTGGGAAGGTAAAAAAGTGAAAAACTTCTGGGAAATGATATATAATGAGATGAAAAAGATGTTGAAATATACATTTATTAAGAAACCAGAAGCATTTTTACTTGGCATTGTAGGAGATGATATTAATAGACAGGATTGTATGTTGTTTTTATATGCAACAACAGCAGCAAGAATATTATTGGCACAAAAATGGAAGCAAGAAGAACCACCGACGAAAGAAGAATGCAGGATGAAGTTGATGGACTACGCAGAATTAGATAAACTAACAGGAAGGATTCGAAACCTGTGGGATCAGAGATTCTTAGAAGACCAGAGTAAATATATGAACTATTTGAAAAGTAACTGTGATGAACAGATTGCATTAGTTTTCTGCAATAAGTTTTGTAAGGTGAATTATTTGAAATATTGCAAAAAAGACAATGAGGAGAATTATTAGTTAAGGATAATTAAATGTAATATAGAAATTAAGAAATGCATAATAAGTGACAAAGAACGGAAAATCATCAGAGGTGTTGATGGAAGTCTAAAAATATTGTATAAGATGAGAAGTTATGTTGTATGACTGTTGGAACTGATATGTTAAAAAAAAAATATGTGTGTTTGTGTGTGTGTGTGTGTGTATATATATATATATATATATATATATATATATATATATGAGAATTAAATGTGATCATCAAAAGTCTGAGGAATCATAGACTTGTAGAGTGGGGCAGGAACCCCAAGGGGACTCTCCTTCCTTGGAGGTGTTTAAGCAGAGCTCAGACGGCCATTTGTCATGGATGCTTGAGCTGAGATTCCTGCATTGCATGGGGTTGGACTGGATGACCTTTGGGGTTCCCAGCTCTTCTGATGTCCTTATGGGGAGGTTCGGCTGTACAGCCCCCGCCCTTTCCAAGCAGGAGGCCTGAGGTTCATCCCCTGAGAGGATCTCCGGACAAGGCTAGGAAAAAGTTTCCTGACTGAAGCTCTGGAGAGCTGCTGCTGCCAGTCAGTGTCAGCCACACTGAGCTAGATGGAGCCAGTGAAGCCCCTTCCTCTCTTGCTCACCTTATCAGGTCAGATGAAGGCTGCTCAGATCTGCTACCAATCTACTAAACCATCGCTGTTGTTTCTCGATTGCGGGGAGCCCTGGGTCCCAACTGAAAGAATAAAATCAGATAGGAGAGGGTTTGGTTATCTGCTGCAAAGCTGGGAAGGCTGCCAAAGCAGAACCCTCCTTTGCTTATCTCGTCTATCTTTGGCTCATAGCACTGGCCGTTGGGGTGGCTTGCGATTTCCTTGGCTCCAAAGCAGCTGGGAGAGAGTTGTACCCAGGGCCGCTGGTTTGAGGAATATGCTGGTCCATAAGAACACGAGAAGAGCCTGAGGAAGGGAGTTCCATGGTTTAACTCTGCTGCATGACGAAGGATCTTCCAAAGTTCAGCTTCTTCTTTTGAATAGTTTTACAAACATTTATTGGGACGCGGGTGGCACTGTGGGTTAAACCACAGAGCCTAGGACTCAGAAGGTCAGTGGTTCGAATCCCCGCGACGGGGTGAGCTCCCATTGCTCGGTCCCTGCTCCTGCCAACCTAGCAGTTCAAAAACACGTCAAAGTGCAAGTAGATAAATAGGTACCGCTCCGGCGGGAAGGTAAACGGCGTTTCCGTGTGCTGCTTTGGTTCACCAGAAGCAGCTTAGTCATGCTGGCCACATGACCCAGAAAAACTGTCTGTGGACAAACGCCAGCTCCCTCAGCCAGTAAAGCAAGATGAGCGCTGCAACCCCAGAGTCGTCTGTGACTGGACCTAACAGTCAGGGGTCCCTTTACCTTTACCTTTACAAACATTTATCAGGTCGCTGCTTCCTTGCCTGGGAAACTCAGCCAGATGGGTGGGGTATAATCCTGCCCCGCTGATCCTTCCCCATGTCTAGCAACCACCTCGACATCTTGTGGCAATGAGTCCCCAGGGCTCACAGAAAAGTGAGCGCAATATCAGGCACCGCCTGGCAAGGGACACAGCTTCTGCTCTTTGCCTTCCATGGGGAAATGCCGGTGGGGGTATTTTCAGCCTCGTTGGTGCTGGAGGTCTACTGCGGCAGCCTCCGTCCTCTGACTTAGGAGGGCACTTGTGGGATTGGTGCCCTCTTAGGCCTTTTTATCCAAACCCCCATGTTGTTCTGCGCCCTCCTTGTGACAGGCAGATGAAAGCGTGTTGCTGTTGCTGTTATCAGCCTGACATCGGCTGTGATCTGCAAAACTTAAGCTTCGCTAAGCTACCCAACAGAGAGAGCTTAAAACACCCTCTTCGAGTTGTAAGCCTTGTGGATTAGTCTACTCTAAAGGGAGATGACAAACCTAGACAGCATCTTAAAAAGCAGAGACATCACCTTGCTGACAAAGGTCCGTATCATTAAAGCTCTGGTTTTCCCAGTAGTGATGTATGGAAGTGAGAGCTGGACCATCAAGAAGGCTGATCGCCGAACAATGGATGCTTTTGAATTCTGGTGCTGGAGGAGACTCTTGAGAGTCCCATGGACTGCAAGAAGATCCAACCTCTCCATTCTGAAGGAAATCAGCCCTGAGTGCTCACTGGAAGGACAGATCCTGAAGCTGAGGCTCCAATACTTTGGCCACCTCATGAGAAGAGAAGATTCCCTGGGAAAGACCCTGATGTTGGGAAAGATGGAGGGCGCAAGGAGAAGGGGACGACGGAGGACGAGATGGTGGGACAGTGTTCTCGAAGCTACCAGCATGAGGGAGGCAGTGGAAGACAGGAGGGCCTGGAGTGCTCTGGTCCAGGGGGTCACAAAGAGGCGGACACGACTAAACGTCTCAACAACAACAAAAGGGAGATGGCCCTTTGCCTGCTTCTTCAGGAGTCAGACGGTGACAGGTCTGAGCATCAGAACACAATAAGCTGGATCAGGCCAAAGGGGGTCCTTCTAGCCCAGCCTCCTGTCCTCACAGTGGTCAGCCTGATGCCTGTGGGAAGCCCATAATCAGCACCTGAGCGCATGAGCAACTCTCCCCTCCTGCGATTTCCGGCAACAGGCATCCAGAAGCATGGCTGCCTCCCACTGGGGGGACAGGGCAGAGCCATCGTGGCCAGTAGCCATTGATAGCCCCCTTTCCCCTTGTCAGGTGTGCGTGCAGGAGCCAGGCCCTGGGACCAGTAGGGCTTCGCAGGACTGGGGCCTTCCTAAGTTTGTTCTGGAGAGGCAAGGTGCGGCCTCACAGGTGAGGCCGCTTGGTAACTCACAGCACCTGGTGGCAAGAGCCGGGAAGGGATATAAGGTCAGCATTTCCCTTCAGCTCTTTGCCACAGCAACACGTTCCCTGCCTTGCTTCCTGACCCTTGGACCCATGGCTTCTTGACCCCCTGCTTCCTTACCCTCAGACTCTTGGCTTCCCGACTTCTGGACTCCCGTTCCTGCTCCCACCCTGCCATCTTGCCCCCAGTCCCGACATCCCCAGCTGGGACTTCGCCCGTGAACTGGACCGGGACATTGGTGGAGTCAACTTCACTGGAGGTTTCAAATGGAGGTTGGAGGGCCACCTGTCAGGTATTCTTCAGCTGTCATTTCTGCACCGCAGGGAGTTGGTTGGACCAGGTGACCCTTAGAAACACAGAATCAGAGTTGGAAGGGACCTCTGGTGGCCGTCTAGTCCAACCCCCAGCAATGCAGGAATCTCAACTGAAGCATCCATGACAGACGGCCAGCCAACCTCTGCTTAAAAACCTCCAAGGAAGGAGAGCCCATTCTCTCGTGGGATGTCAGGTGTGCGTGCAGGAGCCAGGTCCTGGGACCAGTTGGGCTTTGCCGGACTGGGGCCTTCCTAAGTTTGTTCTGAAGAGGCAAGGTGTGGCCGCACAGGTGAGGCTGCTTGGTAACTCATTGCACCTGGTGGCAAGAGCCGGGAAGGGATATAAGGTCAGCATTTCCCTTTGCCACAGCAACACGTTTCCTGCGTTTGGCATTTTGCTTCCTGATCCTTGAACCTCGGCTTCGTGACTCCTTGCTTCTTGATCCTCGGACCCTTGGCTTCTTGACTCCCGGCTCTCTGACCCTCGGACTCTTGGCTTCCTGACTCCTGGCTTCTGGACTCCCATTCTTGCTCCCACCCCGCCATCTTGCCCCCGGTCCTGACGTCCCCTGCCGGGACTTCGACCGCCAGTGAACTGCACCATGACACTCCTCCATGAATTTGACTCATCCCCTTGCAGAGCCATCCAAGTTGTTGGTTGTCACTGCTTCCTGCGGCAGAGTGGGGGAGGTTGCAGTCAAAATCCAACAATATATATGCTTCCCAGTTAGTAAGTTTAGGTGCAGGAGACCACAGAGCTGTATTGCTGATAGGCAAAGACTCAGACCATAGAAACGTAATTGGTAGAGAGGGCTCTGTGTGATGTCATTTCCCCTCCTCTCCTGGGAAGGCATATATAATTTTTTGTTCCTTCCCACCCCCCTCTTTCTTTGAGTAGCCATGAGGATAGACATGCTGTCCACTGTCTCAGGCCCAGACACATGCCTGAGGCTGTTTCTATTCTCCATATAAACATTTTACCTCCATATTTTTACTGCTTCCATGTTAAGGATAATCTAATTTCCTGAAATGGGAATGTTTGCTTAGGTGGATTTGATGTGTATTTTCAGTACGGTATTTTTTCCCCTTGGCTGTAGCTCTCTCGTGTGATTGGCTGACTGTGAGTCACATGGGAAAGACATTCCATTCCGTTGTGACTGTTATTCCAGAAACTGTCGTTTTTTAACTGCTTTTTCTGCTCTTCTCTCTCCGTGTGTGTAAGGGGAATGGCTGCTAGAGAGAGGTTTATTCAGGATACTGAGTGCCTGTCAGTGTGAAGTGAAGCTGACAGAGGAAGATCCTGAAATGTTAATAGGGAGAATCTTGTGCAGGATCTCTCTATAAGGAACAAAGTGAATAAGTATGAGATTGTAGATACGTTATTCTCAGTTATGTTTATGAAATTAAAGTCCCTTTTGAATATAAGGAGTCTGGACATTGCACAACCTGCTGCAGCTGAGAACCAAGGCAAGACTATGAGTAAGTAATTCATATTTAAAGCTGATTTCCACAGTTTCTTGATTTCTTTGTTAAGCAGGGTAAAGGAAAAGGGGGAGTCCACTTGCTCTGCAGCTAGACTTACTTAAAAGAAGCCTTCACAGCTGATTCCTACATGTTTCAGTTTTGCTGCTAAGGGTGGGGCTTTTGAACTCTGTTCAGCCACACACACAGAGACACATATGATGAGTACCTGGAGGGATAAATTGCAATTAATATATCCTCTCCCACCTATGAAAATGCCACAGAGAGTTCCACACAGTAACTGTGTGAAGGACTTTATTTTCTCTATCCTGAATCTTCCAATATTCAGCTTCATGGCAAGTCCTTGAGTTTTGGTGTCTTGAGAGAGGGAGAAAAACCATTTCCTGTCTGCTTCCTCTGTGCTGTGCAGGATCTTATGGGCTTCTACCATGTCCTTTCTTACTCATCTTTTCTCTGAGATAAAAAACCCCAAACACTGCTGCCTTTCCTGTTCTACCCCTTTGATCATTTTCTGAATCTTTTCCAACTCTGCCTTCTCCTTTTGCAAGTGAGGCAGCTGGAGAATGAAATTCTCCCCGGGTACTAGGAAGCATGACACAAAGGGAACTGTTCTCCTTGAGAACTTTTCCCTGGTCTGTTCTGAATTTTTAGGGAAGTTTAGGGAAGTTTTTTAATGACTGATGTTTTAATGTATTTTTAATCTCGTGTTGGAAGTCGTCCAGAGTGGCTGGGGAAATTTATTATAAGTAGTTATTGTTGTTGTTGTTGTTGTTGTTGTTGTTATTTTATTATGAACAAATTAGGAACGAGTGACAGTGGAGTCTCAGCGATGGACCCGTTCATGTTGCCTCAATATAAGAAGAGAATTTTGGGTTGCAGAGAGACGCTGAACATTGAACAGGAGAAGCATCGGCGCTTTTTTGTTCTAGTTGGAGATGAATCAGCGTACAGGAGGGAGGTTCAAAAAATATCTGCATGGTGCCTAGAGAATAACTTGCACCTAAATATTAGCAAGACAAAGGAGATGGTGTTGGACTTTCGGAGGAAGAGAGGGGAACCTGCCCCGTTGTATATCAGGGGTGGTTGTGTGGAGAGAGTCTCTTCCTTTAAATTCCTGGGAGTTTACCTTAGTGAAGACCTCACGTGGAAAAGCAATGTAACTCAGGTTGTTAGGAAGGCCCAACAGAGACTCGATTTCCTCAGGGTCTTGCGAAAGAACACTGTTAAACAACAATTGATGACTTCCTTCTACCAATCCACAAAAGAAAGTGTCCTCTTATATTGTATCACAGTGTGGTACGTTGGCTTGACAGCCACGGACGAAAGTCTCTACAGAGGGTGGTGAACACAGTACATGATATCATGGGCTGTCCCCTGAGCCCGCTAGATGATATCGCAAAGGATCGTGGCCTTAGGAGAGCGGGAAAAATTCTCAGGGACGATTCACACCCCGGCCAGCACCTCTTTAATCTTCTACCCTCGGGCAGGAGATAAAGTATAATCAGTCATGCCAACAAGCTAAAAAACAGTTTCTATCCATGGGCTGTTAGGCTGCTGAATGGAAAATAATACAGTGGTACCTCTCCTTGCAAATGGGATCCGTTCTGGAGGCCCGTTCACAACGTGAAAAGAGCGCAACCCGCAGCGACGCGTCTGCGCACACATGGGTTGTGATTCACCGCTTCTGCGCATGCGTGTGACATCATTTTGCATTTCTGCGCATGCGCAAGCGACAAAACCCGGAAGTAACCCTTTCTGGTACTTCCGGGTTGCTGTGGGACGTAACCTGAAAGAAAGTAACATGAAGTGGACGTAACATGAGGTATGACTGTATAGTGCAACTGACTTTCGGGGTTGGTGTGTTGTGCAACAAGCACACATAGTACAATGAGATTGAATGTTTGTGCGGGGGGGGGGAGACTCGGTTAATTTCATTGTACACAGGTTGTACATTGACAATAAAGGTATTATTATTATTAGTTTATTATAAAGCATGCCACTAGTCCTCATGGAGGCAGCATGCCACAATCCATGTGGCTCACCCCTTCCCCATCACATAGGGTTGTTGGGTGGGTTGAATGGCAGAGAGGGCAGAACCACATCAGCTACTTTGAACGCCTTGGAGGGAAAATGCAAATGGACCATAAATGCAATAAAGAAATAGTTTTGACATGCAAACTAGGCCAGGATTTTACCACAAGGCAGCCAGTGTGGTGTGGTGGTGAGAGTCTCAGACTGGCCATAAAACCCCCTGACTGACCCTTGGGCCAGTCACTGCATCTCAACCTCCCCTCTCACCACCTTGAGTCCCTTGCAGAAAAGGGGCAGGATATAAATGCAAGCCATGGCAGCACCTGCACTTTGGAACTCCCTGCCACTTCAGACCAAGCAGGTGGCTTCACTGTACGCTTCTCGGTTCCTGCTAAAAACATTCTTTTTTAGACAAGTCTGCCCAGAAGCTTAGGAAGCTGGTGTGAATTTTAGCCTGTTTTAGCTTTTTAACTTTTTGTACATGTATCATAACCTCCCCCCCCCCCCCCGATTTTATGGTTTTCATAAAATTCTCTGGTGTTTAAATTTCATGGAATGAATCAATCAATCAATCAATCAATCAATCAAAGTGGCCTTGAATCAGTCGTCCCTCATCCAAGATCTGATTATGGATGAAGAGGCCTATTTGATACATAGGGCTGCCTCGGAAGACGGTTTGGAAACTTCATGTCAGGGGCTGGCTGGATGAAGAGGAGGAGCCACCAGCTGGGGAACCCCCAAGGGAAACCCCAGAGGAGTAAGGCTTAGAGTCCGGGGATTGGTGGTGGGGCACCGAGGAGAGGTCAGAGGGAGAAGATTGGCAGGAGGGGCGGATGCGTAAGGGACAACAGGCTTTAGTGAGCAGGAAGAACCTGTGTCAGAGAGCAGTTCAGGCTGAAGCAAAGGAGGGGGCCAAGGGGCTGATGAAGAATTCAGAGTCTCCCTGTTCTGCTGCGACAAGCTCCCCTCATCGTTGTCCTCCCAGGACATGCAGAGAAACGAAAAGAGCGGAACAGGGGCCAGAGGTGTGCAGACACAATTTGAGGCTGCTTGGGAAACATCCGGGAGAGGAGGAGCATTGGGGGGGGGGGGAGGCAGGACCTTCAGTTCTGGCCACTGCTCCATAGGTACAAAATCTGCTGCAAAGTGTTGCTGAGTTGCATGCCATTTCCTGACTACAGAAACAAAATTAAAAATTTCCTTCCAGTAGCACCTTAGAGACCAACTAAGTTTGTTCTTGGTATGAGCTTTTGTGTGCATGCACATGTGTATCTGAAGAAGTGTGCATGCACATGAAAGCTCATACCAAGAACAAACTTAGTTGGTCTCTAAGGTGCTGCTGGAAGGAATGTTTTTATTTTGTTTTGACAAACGGCAGATCAACATGGTTACAAAAGACCAACTACCTACCTGTAATCTGAATAAAGCGTTCACTGTCAACGGAGACCTGCATCTTTCTGCAGACCTGCATTTGACTCATAATAATAATAATAATAATTTATTTTTTTATACCCTGCCCATCTGGCTGGGTTTCCCCAGCCACTTCAGCCAGTGCAGAATTCAGCGGCCAGGTCGCTCGCTGGACTTCCAAGGCAGGAGATTCCCACGAAATATTAGGAATCATTTTCTGATGCTAAGAGTTGTCTGACTGTGGAATGGGCTTCCTCGGGAGGTGGTGGGCTCTCCTTCCCTGGAAGTTATTTAAATGAAGGTTGGCTGGCCATCTGTCAGGGATGGTTTAGCTGTGATTCCTGCATTGCAGGGAGTTGAGGACCCTTAGAAATCCCTTCCAAATTGACAGTTCTGTGATTGTGAGGAAGGAAGGCGAGTTCATAGGGGTGGTTCTTGGCCCGTCTCCCATCCTTTCTCCACCCCCTTGCAAAAGACGCCCCCCCCCCAGCCCCAGAATCTCCCATGAAGTTGGACCACCTCCAGGATCCCCAGTCAAGACTCCACCTTCCTCGTTATTGCCCAGGTTTATTGGCTGGCTGTACAGATACAAACGTCAGGGTGTGGGTGTCGAAGGCAAACCTTCCCAACCCCAGGCCCTCCCCGACGGACGACAGCTCCCTCCGTCCAAAATCCCAGCTGCTGGGCGTTGGAGTCTGACGATATTTGGAGGTTTGGGGGAACAGCTGGTTTTTAAGGGGGTCGTTAAGAATCCTTTTCGGGGCCCCTTCTCTGCTCCGTCGATGAAGCCCCACATCCGCCTTCCGCTCTCCGGCCAGCTGCCCTGTTGTCTCGCTCTCTCTGCGGCTTGTCAGTGCTTCCTCCTCGCTGGGAAGCGTGCCTGGAGCGAGGCCCCCTGCCATGGTCCGGCCACCTCTCCCCATGGCCCCCTCAGACCTTGGACTCGCTCTCGGCACTGGCGAGGTTCCCATTCCTCTCCTTGTCCGCGTCCTCTTCCACTGCTGCTTTCTCGATGGTCCCTTCCTCCACCTTCTCGTCCAGCCGGCTGGGGATGGACCAGTAGAGGTGGGCATCCATGCGGGCGGCCGCCTCAGACAGTTCCCGGGCGCTGCAGCTGGGCGTGGGCACCTCGAAGGTCTGGTGGAAGCTGTTGTAGTCCACTTCGTAGAAGCCGTCCTCCAGAGAGAGGACGGACATGAAGCGGTGGCCCCACAGGACCTCGTCCATCAGGTATGAGCTTCGCGCTTGGCAGGTCATCCCTGGGGGGGTCAAAGCAGAGAAAGTGGGGAAACTGAGTCAGAACGGCAGAGTCACCAAACGCCACCTTCAGCTGGAGGCGGACGTTCGGCCGAGATGGTGCCGCGTAATGCCCTGGCATGAAACCCATCTTATATATGGCAGTAGCTACCCTTTTAGGGACGCGGGTGGTGCTGTGGGTTAAACCACAGAGCCCAGGGCTTGCCGATCAGAAGGTCGGCAGTTCGAATCCCCGCAATGACGGGGTGAGCTCCCGTTGCTGGGTCCCTGCTCCTGCCAACCTAGCAGTTTGAAAGCATGTCAAAGTGCAAGTAGATAAAGAGGTACCACTCCGGCGGGAAGGTAAACGGCGTTTCCGTGCACTGCTCTGGTTCGCCAGAAGCTGGCCACATGACCCAGAAACTGTACGCCGGCTCCCTCGGCCAGTAAAGTGAGATGAGCGCCGCAACCCCAGAGTCGGCCACGACTGGACCTAACGGTCAGGGGTCCCTTTACCTTTTTAGCTACCCTTTGGAACTCCCTGCCTATTGCGTCAGGGATCTATCTTACATGAGCTGCCCGCTGTTTCCCTGAGTCATGGGTAGGCAAACTAAGGCCCGGGGGCCAGATCTGGCCCAATCACTTTCTTAATCCAGCCTGTGGACGGTCCAGGAATCAGCGTGTTTTTACATAAGTAGAATGTGTGCTTTTGTTTAAAATGCATCTCTGGGTTATTTGTGGGGCATAGGAATTCGTTCACCCCCCTCCCAATATAGTCTGACCCACCACAAGGTCTGAGGGACCAGCACCCTGCTGAAAACGTTTGCTGACCCCTGCCTAAGTCAAGTTGTCACATCTTCTGCTGAGCTTCTTCATACACAAAGAGCAGAGCCGGCCCACCCATGAGGCGAGCTGAATCACCTGCCTCAGGCGGCAGAAGGCCAAGAGGAGGCACCCCGCCTGCCCCACTGCTGCCGCCTGAGGAATGCTCCCCTCTTTAGTTACTTATTTATTAGATTTATATACTGACTGTTGGGTCCACCTATTATTATTATTTATTTATTATTGAATTTATATACCGCCCTGTACCCAGAGGTCTCAGGGTGCTCCACAGAACAATCTTTTCCATCTTTTGGACGGCCATTAAAGAGGGAAACCAAGCTAAACCAGGTGAAAATGCTATCAAAGGAAGAAATCCTTAGCCAACTGAACGTCTATACAGCCCCAAGCAGGTTAATAAACAGAAAAAGGCTTCACTGCCCCACTAAATTGCGCAGCCAAGAGAGAAACTGCAGAGCTCTTGCCCCAGTTTTCAAAGCACACCCACACTTTGACTTGGGTTTAAGCAGCACAAGCAACCTAGCTCAGTACTGTCTGCACTGACTGGCAGCAGCGGCCCTCCAGGTTTTCAGAAAGAGCAAGCAGCCCCACTTCCGCCTGGGACGTTCTGCATGCAGAGCAGCTGTTCTGCCATGGAGGCTTTCATCTAAAAAACAAACAAAGTTCTAGTCCTCATGGTTCTGATTTAAATAGGAAGCTGCCTTATATTGAGCCAGACCATTGGGGGTCGTCTGCTGGTCCTTTGAGTCTCCCCCCTCCCCCCCAGCCCACCCCAACCAAGCCCAGTGATCTTCAAAGCCTGACACCCCCCCCGGCACGCCATCCGTGAGCCAGAAGCCTTTGCAAGCAGCCCCCAGACCAGGAGGCTTATGTAAGTGCACACAGGGCAGAGAAGGGGAGAGAAGTCAACGCTGGAGGGTCCTGGGAGATGAAGAAAAGGATGGGGACCCCCTGAGAGGGAAGCCCCCCCCTGAAAGTTCCTGAGACTCTGGGTTCATTTACACACCACCAGCCACAGCTCAGTGCTGTGAGAAGAACCTATAGCCTGACTCAGAAACATGAGGACTAGAACCTTGGTTTATTGGGGGGGGGAGAGGCCTGTAGGAACCAGCACTGAAGGTCCCAGGATCAATCCCCCCAGCATCTCTGGGAAGGGCTTGGAGAAACCCCTGAGTCTGAAACTCAGGAGAGCCACTGCCAGTCAGTGCAGGCAAAGCATAGCTAGATGGACCAATGATCTGACTCAGGATAAGGAAGTTTCTGGCTGCCCATCTACTCATGAGCCCAGTTCTAGCTTAGGGACTGCCTAGTGCAGGGGTCAGAAACCTTTTTCAGCCGTGGGCTGGTCCACTTTCCCTCAGACCTTGTGGGGGGCCAGACTATATTTTTTGGGGGGGAAATGAACGAATTCCTATGCCCCACAAATAACCCAGAGATGCATTTTAAATAAAAGGACACTGTGATGGCCTGGGAATCCGATTCAGAGGCTGAACCGGAGGAATCCCAGCCTGCACAGGAGTCCCCGCCTCCAGGACCGGCTGAACTGGGGCAGGGCCTTGATTCTGAGGCGCCTGCACCTGTGCCGGATCCTCAGGAGCAGGCACCAGGTGAATCCACTCTGGCTCCGGAGGTGGTTGAGGACTCAGTGCCTACAGGTGAGTCTCCCCCTGGGCCCAGTAACCCTTTGGCCTCTCCTGAACTGCAGAGGCTCAGGGCAGAGAGGCGGAGGGAACTGGTTTCTCCCAGGAGGAGTGCTCGCCTTAAGGCCAGGAGAGGTGGGTCTCCTGGGGGCCGGGACCGCCCCTGGCCTCAGAGGAGATAAAGGCCAGTCAGCCCGGTCCCAGGTGGCGGGAGCAACGTTGTTGTAGAGCTGTTTCGGCCAGCCCCCAGTCCGGTTCCCCCAGAGTTCCTGTCCTTGCCTGGCTCCTCGCTGTGGACCCCGCTTCACCCATGGAGGACTGTCTGCCGACCCTCGACTCAGGTCCTAGACCTCGCCCCACGGTAACCTCCCCCCGGGACCAGCACAGACACATTCTATTCCTGTAAAAACACACTGCTCCGCGGACTAGATTTAGAAGGCGATTGGGCCGCATTCGGGCCCCGGGCCTTAGGTTGCCTACCCCTGGCCTAGGGCCTTCTATCCCAGCTCAATCCCATGAGTTCACCTGCAGGAGCGTCGCTGGGCAAGGTGCTGAGGCTCAATTGGAACACGAGAAGCTGCCTTAAGAATGCAAGAGCATGCTGGATCAGGCCCAAGGCCTCTCTAGTCCAGCAGCCTGTTCTCCCAGGGCCTTCTTGGTGGTGGCTGCTCCCAGACAACTTTGGAGCTACCTCCCTGGAGAAGCTCCTTGCTGTCCTTCCCTTCCACTGGCAGGTGGAAACCTTCTTGTTCTAACAGGCGTTTGGGAACTGACTGCTTTTAAGGCCTGGTGCCATGCTGTTCTTATTGCAATTAATGGTGTGGTTTTAGTAGAGCTCATATGTGTATATAGTTTTATATTCTCTCAATGTTTAATTGTATTTTAATAATCAATTTTTCTATGTTTTTAGTGGTTCTTGTTTCTGTCTGTAAGCTGCCTTTAGTCCTGTCAGGTGAGAAGGCAGGAAAATCATCATCATCATCCTCACCATCTCTCTCTCTCTCTCTCTCTCTCTCTCTCTCTCTGCTGTTTACAGCAATAAACCATAAAACTGTACAATAGGGAAACTTTGTTTAGGGAAGCTTTTAATGTCTGATGCATTACTGTATTTTAATATTTTGTTGGAAGCTGCCCAGAGTGGCTGGGGAAGCCCAGCCAGATGGGCGGGGTATAAATAAAAATTATTATTATTATTATTATTGTTGTTGTTGTTGTTGTTGTTGTTGTTATCCTATAAAAATTGGAAAAAATCCAGACATTGATTAACCATTGTGGAAAGGTGTCCTCTCAATTGCCTGGGCAGGTCCTGATGGGAGAGAAAAGTTTCCAGTGGCCATATAAAAGTTGGCTTGTGGGTTGGATCATTTTTGGGGGTCCCCTCCCTCCCTCCCTCCCTTCTGGCCCTCCCCCGCCTACCTGTGGCCTCCACCATCCCCTCCAGGATCACCACGATCTCAAAGTCGTCCTTCTTGAGCTGCTCCCGGGAGACCTCCCAGAAGGGGCTGTGTTCGTTGATCTCATGGCTGATGATGAGTGGGGAGACCAGGAAGAGGCGGTCGTCTCCGGTCTCGAAGCCCACGTTGATGTCCGTCTGGTTGAGGGGGATGAACTCCCCTTCCTGGGTCTGCTTGGACTTGATGAGCTTGGCTCGGATGGAGGCCTCCACGATGTGCGAGTTGCGCAGGTCCCCCACGCGGAACATGAGGCAGAGGCGGTCGTCGCGCAGGGAGACCACGGCGTGCGAGGAGAAGACCAGGGTCTCGGCCCTCTTGTTGGGCTGCGAGATCTTGACAAACATGCAGCCCACCATGAAGGCGTTGACCATGGAGCCCAGGATGGCCTGCAGCAGGAGCAGGATGATTCCCTCGGGGCACTTGTCCGTGATGACCCGGTGGCCGTAGCCGATGGTGGTCTCCGTCTCGATGGAGAAGAGGAAGGCCGAGACGAAGCCGTTGAGGTTGTTGACGCAGGGCGTCCAGGCGTCGTCCCCCAGGTGGTCCAGGTCTCCTCGGCAGTAGGCGATGAACCACCAGATGAGGCCGAAGAACAGCCAGGTGCTGGCGTACGCCAGGATGAAGACCAGCAGGCTGAAGCGCCACTTGAGGTCCACCAGCGTCGTGAAGATGTCCGTCAGGTAGCGGTAGGTCTCGTGGACGTTGCCATGCTGGACGTTGCACTTGCCGTCCTTCTCCACGTACCGCTGGCGACCCCGCTTCTTCTCCGCCTTCTCGGGCTCCTCGCCCAGGCGCCGCAGGGCTGCCGGCTTGAGCTGGGGCCCCGGGACCTTGGCTTCGGGCGCCAGGGGCTCATGGATGGAGGAGAAGGCCGAGTTGTCCTTCGCCATGTTAGCGCTCGCGGGGCCCGGGCAGCGGCTCCGAGTCTGCAGAGGGGGAAACGCACGAGGCCGGGTTAGTGCCGGAAGCTGCCTGGCCACTGACTATGGCCACTGACTATGCTATATATATATATATATATATATATATATATATGATATCTTTATTGTCATTGTCCCATGCAGAACAATGAAACTGAAAAACTACATAAAACATTCAAAAACCCCTAAAAACTCTGAAACTCCATTTTAAAATACACTATGCAATAGAGACCCCTTATGCTGCGTTTAGAACCAGAATTGCATTTGCGTAGAAACTGTTTCTCAGGCGGCTAGTCCTAGTCTTTATAACCCTGGACCTTCTTCCAGAAGGCAGAAGCTGAAAGAGATCATTTCCGGGGTGCTCATGATCCTGCGCTATCTCTGCAGCTTTCTTATGGCACCTGGAAGCGTAGATTTGATCCAAGGTGGGAAGAGGGCACCCAATTATGCTCTCCGCAGTCTTTACAACCCTGGATAGCATTGTTTTTCCCCTGACCGTGCAGCTCCCAAACCACACACACAGACCTATAAGTTAATACACTCTCTACAGTACAATGGTAAAATGCCATCAACAGGTCCTTTGAGAGATTGTTTTTCTGGAGAATTCTCAGAAAATATAACCTCTGCTGTGCTCTCTTCATCAGGTCTTTGCTGTTTTCTCCCCAGGTGAGATCATCTCTCAACTCCATTCCCAGAAATCGAAACACCGAGACCTGTTCCACGCACTTCCCCTCAATTATGAGTGGCTGAATATTCAGTGTTGCCTGATCTGACTGGCAGCAGCTCCCTGGGGTTTCAGGTGGGAATAGGGCATTTTTCCAGCCTTTCTTGGAGATGCTGCTAGTGGGGATTGAAGCTGGACCTTCTGCATGCCAAGCAGGGGCTCTGCCACTGACATGGGGCCCTCCCTTCAAAAGCAAAGCAGGATTCTAGTCCTCATGATTCAGAATAAAGAGTTTACCTGAGGAGAGCTGCCTTATACTGAGCTGGACTATTGGGTCCATCTTGCTGAGTTCTGCCTTCACTGACTGGCAGCAGCAGCAGCTCTGGAGGATATTCCAGGCAGGGCGTCTTTGCCCAAACTTACCTGGAGATCCCAAAGGGGACCGAATCTGGGACCTTTTGCCAGACAACTATTCCAGCGCTCTCTTTTACATCCACCAGAGGCCAGTCGTGGAACCCTTCCCCACTGACTCCATGACCTGCCCACCCTGCACCAGTTGGCAGATAGGGCTGTGGTTGGAGCCGGGTGTGAGTTGCTACCCAGGCAATAAGCAGACAAGATGAAACAGGAGCAGCGACGAGGCTGTCTGTTCCACAAAACGGAAGCATTTTATCTTCAAACGGTAAAAGCAGAAAAGTGTCAAAATTTGAGAGTGCGATTGTGCAATCACAAGGCGGGTGTCGCTCCTTTCCTTTATTTTTAAGCCTTTTATGCCTAAATCTTCACTGTGAAAAGTGCACCCGCTTGCCAAATCACGGCTAGTGCTCTGCGGCTTGTTAGAGAGACCTTTCTTGATGTTGTGTCCAGCCCTTACCTGGTGACAATCACAGACCCCCCAGAGGAAGATCGTGGACCTTCAGGAAGCACAGAATTATAGAATCACAGAACTGCAGAGCTGAAAGGGACTCTAAGGGTCATCTAGCCCAACCCCCTGAAGTGCAGAAATCTCAACTAAAGTATACAAAGACACAGGATTTTGGCATTTTGCTCTTCACTCCAGCCACACCCACCCAGCCTTATTATGGTGACCTTGCCTCTGCGCCAGGTTTGGACCAAGACTGATGCTCTGGACCCGACTTGTTTGGACTGTGGGTGTTACGCTTAGAGGCTTTGATCTCCTGGGATCGGGACCCTAGTCCCTGGGAACGAGACTAGATGCTAGAGGATGCCAGTTCTACCTTCTGTACATCCAGGGATGCTGGAGAGAGGAGCGGAAGGTGGGCTGGGAGGAGAAGGAAGGAATATTATGCTAGAATTCAAGAGTATTATTTCAAAATTCAACAGTGGAACAGTCTCCCTTGGAAGACGGTGGACTCTCCTTCCTTCAAGGTTTTTAAACAGAGGTTGGCTAGCCATCTGCCAGGGAAGCTTCAGTTGTGAATTCTGCATTGCTGGGGGTGAGCCCTGGGAACCCATGCAACTCTGTGACTCCATTATGCTGTGAGTTCTGTGGCCCCTTAAGCGCTTGCAGGCTTATTGTGGCACCAGATGGCATGGAGAAGAGTCCAGGTTGTGAACCCAGAGCCACTGAGAAAGCAGCCCAGGGTCCCACAGCTGCCTTTGTGGCACAACAGGCCCATTTAAGGTCCTGCAAGGCTCTGTTCTGTGAATTTTTGATGTAACAGACCAATGGGGGCAGCCACTGGGCCCCGCAGGGAACCCTGGAGTCTCCAGAAAGTGCCCTGTTAATTTTGCTTGCAAGAATATTAACTGCTCCCAGGAAACATTTTTTTTTGCTACCATTCCTGCACCCATTTAGCAATTCATTGTGGGCCCAGCATCGCCCATCCCTGTTCCCAGGGATCGCTGGCTGCAGAAAATATCATCTTCATGGTGCTGCCCCATGCTGCAAAAACATTAGCATTATTCATCCTGCTCCTGGCGTGCGCCTGTGTGTTTTTAAACTGCCTGCGTGGGGGTGTGGTGTGGGACCTGCCGATGCTAAAACTGGCATCCTTTTTGCATGGTGGGTTCAGGGAGAGGGTGACGTGGATCGGAGGGGGGGGGAAGGCTCTCACTAAGTGGGTATTGTGCCTAGACAGGCATCAATTTTTTTAAAACACACACACCTACCTCTGCAGGTGTAAACACAGAAAAAGTGGGGTTTACGTAACAGCCGTGTTTCTCTGCACTGGGAGACATTGGATGCTGGAATTTACAGAACAGGGAGCCTGTTCCTGCTGGCTTCTGTCGCTGGGATTCTTGAGCTGTGATTCCTGCACAGCAAGAGGCGGACTGGATGGGGACCCCAGCTCTGCAATCTGTGATGCTAAATTTATATCCTGCCCTCCCTCCCGAAAGAGCGCAGGGTGGCAAAGACCAAAGAAACTAAAGGGAGCAGGGAATGATTCCAAGGCACACAGAGACTGGGGAAGGGCTTGAAGGAAAAGGAAGGTCAAAAAGGCAACGTTCTGGATCAGACCTGTGGCTCATCTAGTCCTGCATTCTGCCCTCACAGTGGGCAATCGGTAGCCCCAAAGGGAATCCCAAGATCAGGATCTGAACACAAGAGCTCTCTGCCCTCCTGCAGTTTTGAGCAACAAGGCTATTCAAAAGCACCGACTGCCTCCATCTGTGCGGGCAGACCATGGGCATTGCGGCTAGTAGCCATTGAAAGCCCTCTCCTCCATGAATGTGTCTAATCCTCTTTTAAAGCCTCCCAGGTTGGTGGCTATCGCTGCCTCCTGTGGCAAGGAGTTCCATAGTTCGACTATGTGCTCTAAGGCTTGCACACTTCGAAATTTGAAGTTGCAACCATGAGGCTTAGAAACTTGGCCTTTTAAAAAATGCAATATGCAGTCCTTCCCCCTCTGCCTCAGTTTGTTGTTGTGGAATAAGTTGCAAACACCACTTATAAAGTTTCAAATCACATGCTTATTTCCCATGCGTGTTTAAAGGCTTGTTCCAGGTCTTTAGACTGGAGGAGGAGATCGCCCAACTCCCTCCCAGGCTACCTGTCCTGATCTGGGCCCATGGATCTGTGCCTCCCTCAGCAGGGCTGGTGGCAAAGCTGCGAGGAGAGCGGGTGGGTGTGTTGTCGAGGCCCAGATGGCTCGGCTGATTAAGCATGGCTCTATTTTTAAACTGCGTCCGCAGCAATAATTGAACAATTGCACCCGTTCCCGATAAACCGTGTCTGTCTTTGGTTATTAATAGGCAGTGTTTGGGGAAAGAGGCCACTCTCACCTGAGAATGTGTTCATAGACTCAGAGTATTATAAGGTCGGAGGGGACCCTGAGGGTCATCTAGTCCAACCCCCTGCAATTCAGGATTCACAGCTGAAGAATCCCTGGCAGGTGGGCATCCAACCTCTCCTTTAAAAGCTCCAGTGAAGCTTTTTGCAGGGAGGAGTCCAGAGTGGAGGACCCAAATCAGTCGATTTAAATGGCAATAAAAGAGAGTCTGACTAAATATCATTAAGAACTTTCTGCCTGTAGGAGCTGTTTGACAGTGGGACAGACTCCCTCGGAAGGTGGCGGATTCTCCTCCCTTGGAAGTTTTTAAGCAGAGCTTGGATTGGCAGCCTGTCAGAGATTCTTTAGCCGTGGTTCCTGCATTTCAGGGGGTTGGACTAGATGGCCCTTTGATGCCCCTTCCAAACCTGTAATTCGACTGTTCTGTAAAAATGATACAGAAAGGGGATTGAGAGATGCTTTGCTTTCTTAGGATACCCGAACTTTTGGGTCAATTGACTGGCAGGAGTTTCAATATGGAAGAAAGATTGTGTTTTGCTTTGTTTTTTTCAAAAGGGTCAGAATTAATTTACAGGATTCACTGCCTTTTAAAGCCCAATCTCACAAGGGGACCCAGACCCCACAGGACGCCCCCCCCACCTTTCGTTTTGATGGTTTGCAGGTAGACTCTCTCCCCTCCCCATAGCGCAGAGCAGAGGAGGCCGCGTGCTTCTCTTACGTCAGACGCAACGCTAGGAACAGATTGCTGCAAAGTTGGCAAGTGCTTTAACTCACAGGTCTGGGGGCGAAGGTCCCAGGTACACCTCCCTGGGCCCAACTCTGTACCCCAAGGCTGAGCCCTGCATATCCAGGCCCTTAGAAGCCCCTCTTGAACCCTTCTCTGCCAGTGAAAGATTGAGGTGCCCAAAAAGAATCCAGGTGGGGTTTTTATGTGTGTTGTTTTGCAGCTGGATTTCCTCCTCTTCCTGACTTGCTCTTGCATGGCATTCATGCCCCCATTCCTATCTGGGACCCAGTCCATGCCAGCACCCTGGCAGAGACAAGACTGGGTG